ACCAGGGGAGACTCCTAGAACCCACTGGAAAATGTTGTCACAATTGCGCTTTTCAATTGAAAACAGACATCATCTTTAGAGAGATTTGTCATCTTTAAAGACTTCTGCACGCCATTTCTCGACCCGCTCTTTCATTTGAGCCCAAAAAAACATTTATATCTTGTCTGATATCGCTGCTACAAACTCGGGTCTACAACTCGGGCTTTCAATTGAAAACCCGAGTTGAAAACCCGAGTTCGTAGTAAAGATGTCAAACAAGATATGAATGTTTTTTTGGGCTCAAATGAAAGAGCAGGTCGAGAAATGGCGTGCTAGGGCCTCTAAAGATGGTTTTGAACCAGGGGAGACTCCTAGACCTCAATGTTCTATACATACTCCTAGACCCCATCGTCCTCCTAGACAATATTGTCACAACTCTGCTTTTAAATTGAAAACAAACATCATCTTCAGAGACATTTGTCATGTTTAGAGGCCCTAGCACGCCATTTCTCGACCCGCTCTTTCATTTGAGCTCAAAAAAACATTTATATCTTGTCTGATATCGCTGCTACAAACTTGGGTCTACAACTCGGGCTTTCAATTGAAGGCCGATTATCCATTTCTGATTCTTTTTTCATTCAGAAATACATAGAGAGATTTTTCTATTGCTCGAATGAGATTTCGAATGACTTGTTTAGTTTGTTTGTTTTGATCACAAAACAACACTTTTGATTGACCTGCAACATAATTCCTCTCCATTCAATGTTGTAACTTGTGAATTAAGGAAAAATATATATATAATAAGAATAAGCATGTATAAAATTAAATTGAATTAATTGTGAAGACGTAAATGGAAATAAAATTAAATAGAATAAATGAATCTTCGCTAGTTGAATAATATTAGTGAGACAAAAAATTCAGGAAGAAATCGATGTGTCCGTTTTCTCCGATTTTGCTTTACCTTATAACCCCTGCGACACCGTCTTATGAGAATGTGTTTGTTTTTACAGCCTTCAAATTGAGTCGGAACACAAGATTTGATCCAACTCAACTCATTATTTAAACCTGTTGTCCATATTGCCCCACCCTCCCCTACATATCTACTATGTTTATTATAGATCGGCTGCTAGATTCTTCGGAGTTATCTGCTTATCTCGGTTGAGATGTTATGAGATCTGGTTCTACCCCCGCCTTCCCATTAATTATTGTCTTTCAAAATGGCGTTCAGCTTGGCTGCATTTGCGTATATTTGTGCGTTAATTCTCGACGCATTTTTAATATTCTTTGCTATTTATCACGTACGTACATCTCACCTCGTTAATTCACACCCTGCAAACAGAAATGTGATAAGCGTTTATGATTAATTAGCGAATGACATTGACTTAACCTAAAATCACAAATTCAAATAAATCTCTGTACACACAACATAATTACCGTAAAACTTGTCATTCGAATTTGCCACATAAATCATTAGTGCATTTATTGTTAATTTATTTTTCAGGTAATTGCATTCGATGAGCTCAAGACAGAGTACAAAAACCCGATCGAACAGTGCAATAGTCTAAACGCCGTACGTATCATTAAATATTACTAATGAAATGAATGAATGAATGAATTATAATTAAAAGCATTGACCATGAGATAATAAATTGCCATTCCCGCAGACAGACATAATTATTGATGAATTGAATTTCAGCTGGTGCTTCCGGAGTACGCACTGCACATCTTAATTAATATATTATTTTTAATAAGTGGGGAGTGGTTCTCGATACTTCTCAATGCTCCCCTCATAGCATACCACGTAAATAGATATTTAACGAGACCCGTAATGACTGGTCCTGGGCTTTACGACGCCACAAGCATATTGAATGCTAACAATCTGTCGAGATGTCAACAGGAGGGCTGGGTCAAACTAGCATTCTATCTTTTATCATTCTTCTATTATTTGTATGGGTGAGTCGTTCGTTTACATTTTCATCCAACTGATTATTTTCCATATTTTATCATTCTTCTGTGATTTGTATGGGTGAGTTATTTATTTACACCCTCATCCAGCTGATTATTTTATTGAAACAGGTTTTTAGATGGAAGAAAAAAAATGGCTGCCAATCAATGACAACTCAAAAAGGGACTTTCTCTAATTTTATAATCATTCTATTCAATTCCCACTATTAAAGAACAAAATCCTAGTGAAGAGAGATAACGGCCAGTTTTTTTCTGTATCTAATTTTACAGCATTCACAATCGACTCCCACTATTGAAGAAAAATCGTAAATAAGAGGGATAATATTCTATTGCTCCCCCCCCCCCCCCCCCGAGGGCATCGAACTCGAAAATTCGAACTGCGAAAAATTTTAAATCTCATTTTAAAGTATCTAGAAGCCTTATTAATGAAAATATCGGCCAAAAATATCATAAGTGCTTAGATTTTCAAATTTTGATTTGGAAACTCCGAGACGTAGCGTGCATAAGGTTAATATCCAGAAAAACATGGCAACTTTGAGTTTGAATATATAATTAAGGGTAACACTGAACATAAGAAATCTCGCAGATCTTCTTCAAGTATACGATCTAGATCACTCTTGATTTTTTTCATATTTTTCCTAGATCTTTCAAATTTAGCATCATGTCGATTTATTCTGGTGCGGCGCGGTGCTTGGGACCCAAATTTTCAAGTATTCAATAGTCAGTTAAAGATCCCGTGGGAAATATCTTCGAAAAGGAGAGGTTTTGATAAATTGATGACAAAATTTAAGAAGAACGTTACAAACTACAAAAAAGTCTTGACTTTTTTCTTGCAATCCAAAAACAAACAGTCATTAAAATATTAGTGCATTTTCTAGAAACTTCCATCGGAATTGTATTGACCTTCTATTGAAACATTATCGATTGGTTATTAGAGTTCTAGTGGAATTTCTTTTGAAAATAATTCGATCCTCTCACACGATTTTGTGGTAGTTATTTGATAAGAAAAGTTCATAGATGTTGATTTTTCCTCTCAACTAATTATTTCCCGAAAATAATTTACGATCAGCTGTTATTCTTACAATTCCACAATTATCTCTCTTTCAGAATGATCAGCTCACTCATCCACTGAGCAGGTTCCTTCCCTATTGAACTGTCAATGGAGTACTACAAAAGGGATTGATTGGAAATATCGAGTTTAATAAGGCGATTAATCTTCCAAATGCAGTCTTTTATTTCCTTTTAATTCTCATCTTTATATAGTTATTACAAAATGTCACAAGTTTTTCTTTAAAACTCCAAATAGTGCCAATTATAGGAGATTTAATTATCTAAAAAAAGATTATACTTTCATGAACATTAATTGAATACTCCACAAAAATAAATTGAGGAATAGTAATTTTATATCATAAGACAAACAATGTTTAATACATAATTATTTATTCATTAATACTACGATAATTATCTCTAGTCTTCAATTAATTTCATTCAATCACAATAATTTAACGGGCAGTACTTGCTGTACACATAATCAATCAAAAACTCCAACAATTTCACAATTCTCGTCTGTGAATAGTGAGGCTTGTATATTTTGTATTTTGATACTGGTAAATATTAAATATCAAAATGTATTTTTAAAAAACACCAGTTCTATGATTTCCTCATGTAAATAACGTTGATCATGTGAACGCCTACGACTAATTATTTTTGTTATAGAAAGCATGTAAAAGTGTTGAGTATCAAATCCACGAGTACAATATAAATGTGTAATAAAAAACGTATGAATTTAGATATCACAAATGCAGATAGATAATTCATTCATCTAACTAATTTCTCTTTGAGCCACTCCTCGGTGAGTTCCTCTAGTTCACGTACCTCGTAACAACGAGTCAACTCAACTTCTTTCTGGAGAATTAATTTCATACTTGCGTATAGAACTTGCAGCTCCATCTGAATATCTCGAGGTGTGTAGAAGATGAAACACATGGGGAAGGATATTCGACCGTCCTTGTGCTGCATTTTGTAGCTGTATACTATGTAGCGGGGCTCGTGACTCGGAATTATCTCTTGTAAGTCTTCTATTTGTGTGTCCTACGATTAAATCAATAGATTAATTCATTCAATCAGATCATGTAGGCGATTATCAGTTGAAGTTTTCTTTTTCAGTTCGTTTTCGACCATTATAATTCGTTTAGTTGACTGATGGTCAAACATTGGCCTAGACGGTCTTTAAAATTATAACATACTGTTCAAAATACATAAAAACAGTGGGAAATTGACGAAAAAGGTCAATGGTTTAATCTTCTCTCTCGGAAGCACTCACTTCGGAGATAATTATATTCTTACCGAGCACTTCACGGTTCACTTTAAAAAGAAATTCAAACTTAATTACCTCTATTAACTCATCCAGACAGACTTTCTGCTCCTGGCGATTGACTTTGACTGCAAAAATTAAAGAATAATAATTTCCTCTCATAAACATCTCCCTGTAGGCAAGAATATAATTGAAAAACCTAGCGCTTTGTCTAAGAAATTCAATCGAAATTCTACGGGAACTTTATTAGAATCATATTGGATTTGCGTTAGAATATTATTGAAATTCCATCAAGACATTTATTCGTTTTTTCGTCCCAATAGATTTTACTTTTTCTATACAAATCTTCTGTATGAATCATCAGATCACAATTCTTGACAATTATTTTTTTTATTTGATTTGAATTACAATGAAAAAACGTAGAAAGCTTATGTCCAACTCTTTGGGTAGAAAGAACCTCAAAAGAATGATTTATACTGAAAAATCAGAATCTAAAGACCACGCATGAAAAATTTAATAGAAAAACCTAGCGAATTCCTTAGAACATTCTACTGGATTTCGATTGCACTTTCAAGTAATTTTTGGCCGATTCTATTGAAATGTTCAATAGAATTCGATTTTTTTATATAATTTATTCTCTTCAGATATTTTCTGTAGAATTGCCTCGGCTCAAATTTTCCAAGTTTTCATTCTATTTTTCTTTCTATATTTCTTTTCTTCTCATCAAGAAAATCAATCAGAAAAACTCAGAAAATTAGAGCCAAGAATATTCTATAGAAAATATCACAATAGAATAAGTTATATAGAAAAGTCGATTTCTTTTCAATAAAAATCGCCGCGAAAAACAAATCTTCTATCGAAATTTTTCATGTGCTGACATTATTTAAATAATCATAAATACTGGAATAATAAACAAAAATTATCCTCACGTATTAACGCAGCATTCTTCTGGCTCTTCCGGAAGCGAAAATCTTTGATAGCTTTCCTCACTTCATCCTCAATATCGCAAGTACTGTTAGAAGTCTATAAAAGCATAACAACATATGTTTAATCAAATTTCAGAATCTAATTCGTAAGTAATGAAGAATGAACAATAATGACAGTTAATCACTTACCATTCTTATCAATCAATCTAATCACTGAATCTGAATCCCTGAATTTTCTGACAAAGGTCCTATCTATTTCGTGTACACACAATTCATCAGTATGACTAATAAATACCGTTGTACTGTGCGTCTGTTGTGTTGATAATTGCGGATGCCATGAACATAGCTCAATACTGTATTTACAGCTGTCCCTTTAATAAAAACCTGTTCCAAACACTGTACTGGTGATGTCTATTGACTGTAGGGAGCATTCACATCGCCAGTAAAATAATCTCCACTTCGAAAAAAAACTATGAACACTCACACACTCATCTATCCCCAATTTCAAAAGTTATTCTCAACATTTTTTTACAAAAAAAGTTTTGTAATTATATTTGTCAGAATTGCCGATGAAATTAATTTTCAGAAATTTGAATATTTCGCTGTTCCCGTTTGGGGTAACGCAAATCATCTCATGAACATCTGGAGACAGATAAGCAGATCACTTCGAATGCTCTACCAGTTTTGCATCTCCACTGGCAGCACAGTCACTATTTTGACGAGTGACTTTAACCCCAATTTCGGGATTTGTCAAAAGTATTCGGAATTCCGGAGATTAGAAATAGAATAAACGCATTTCGTTATTGTTCAAGATGCGTCGAACCCGGTAGTTTCTGAGTTGTTTGAGTTTTTCCTGGCCTCAGTGCTGATAATACAAGAGGGTGAAAATGGCAGTGATGGACTTCTTCGGCTGTGCCCTCCTTGCCTTCGGTCCCCCCTTGGCATTGTTCACATTTACAGTGTCAGTGGAGCCCATTAGGATAATTATTCTGATAGCTAGTGCATTCTTCTGGTTGATATCGCTGCTGCTGTCGTCGATTCTGTGGTATGCGGTGGTTCCTTTGCAGAAGCATCTTGCCTTCGGGCTCGTGTTCTCTGTGCTCTTCCAGGAAGGATTCAGGTCAGTGATTCATAATGCGTCAGATTTTGGATTTGTGGAAATTTTGGAATATTTTTGGAATTAGCTGGGGAAACTTTTTGAATACGTACGAAAAAAATAGAAAAATCATATTATTGATGATATTTCATTTAGAACTGCCAGAGTAACACACAGTCTTATGAGAAATTTAACTTTTCGAGATTGAAAAGAAGTTTAAAATCTAGAAAAAAAACCTCGAAAAATCACAAAAAAAAAAAATCCCATTTTTAATTCAAATTTATTTTTTCTCGTTACCCTCAGCGACTCAACTGAAGTTTATTTATACTACTTCAACTCTCTGCTCCTCAGGTTCCTCCTATACTGCGTCCTCAGGAAAGCAGAGAAGGGTCTGGAGAAGGTGACGACAGCGCACGTGGCCGACAGTAGGCACATATTCGCCTACGTCTGCGGTCTGGGCTTTGGTTTCATGAGTGGTGCATTTGCCCTAGTGAATGTCCTAGCTGACGCTGTTGGTCCTGGGACAATGGGTCTTCGTCAGGGCAACGAGTACTTCTTCATTCTATCAGCAGCCACCACCCTCTGCTTCATCCTCCTCCACACATTCTGGGGCGTTATATTCTTCTCAGCACTGGATAGGAAAAACTGGGGACAACTCGCCTGGGTCGTTTGCTCACATTTATTCGTATCCTGCATGACCTTGCTGAATAAACTCGAGGTCTGTGGTCCTACTCTTCTGGCAGCGTACGCTGTACTCACCATGACTGGAGCATTAGCATTCAGGATAGCTGGTGGAAAGTTCCAAAACATTCCCATGTGCTTTGCCCGAAAATAAAGAGCTTGGAGAAGTAGGGAAACCCAGGGTGAAATGGACACATCTAGAATTTGAGATATGTCAATATTTTTGAAATATTGTATTTCTACCTGCGTTTTAGGGTTCTAGGAGAAATGTTCTCCGGCAAAATGTTCCTTAGAAACATGAATTCCCCAAAAAACTCCCAAAACTAGCTCCAAAATTAAAAATATCACCCCTCCATAAGAGTGAAAAGCACGAAAAATATAGAAAATTAAAAATAAAAGACCTTTATTCACCACAATAAGAAACGAATGAACACTAAATTGTTAGGACATGAACACATCGCACGCTAAATGGAAAAAGGTCGTATAATCCTAATTTAGGGAATATGAAATCTGGACAACTTGGGCTCTGCAGAATCATTTTGACCCAACTTTTGAGGACAATTTTTTTTGGCGCATACGACTTTTTTCCACAAATATTTCTCCAATAGTGGAAAAATGAAAAACGAATCTTTCCACTGTTTTCTCTTCATTTTTCTGATATTCGGTCGTATTTTTGAAGAAATAAACATTATTCTAGAGAAATTTCTATTGGAGAAAAATTTGTGAAAAAAGGTCGTATGGGCCAAAAAAATTGTCCTCAAAAGTTGGTTAAAGTGATTCTACAGAGCCCAAATCATCCAAATTTCATGTTCCCTAAATTCGGTTTAAACTATCTTTTTCCATTTCGTTGACCTAACAATCCCGAAATGGTGAATACGACCTTTTTCCATTTAACACGCGATTTTTACATAAAAAAGGAAAATCATTAAACACATGTCACAACGAATCAAATAATATAAAATCCCCAATTCGAGAACAAGTCCGCGTGAAAAATGGAAATCAATATCAAATATTACGCTGGTATCAATAGGCCACACGAACACATCACTCTATGTCCGCCCATTCACAAATCACAATACTATCGAAGTATTACACGACGGATGGATCAAAGATAAACGCCATCCAGACGAGTAAAATACAAATAACACAGAAATTGGCGCAAAGAAAGAAATGATAAGGAGCAATTTTCCGGGGAACAAGTATCCGGGTACTACGTTTCATGCCAATATGTGGACAATAGAGATGCTAGGGGTTGGGCATTTCACAGCTATTTTACTGAATTACAGATCAATGGAAGATTAAGTGAATATGGCTTCACTATAGGGGAAATTGGGAAAAATAGGAATTGTAGGGACAAAGAGGAATGACTGAAATGAGAAAACGAATTCAGTTTCCAAATTTCAGGGTAATCTAGAGAAACAATTTTAGAGGTGTTTGAAGAAGGTTTTCTACGCTGAATGTAGTCAGGATTTTCTTCGTCAGATGATGGAGGTTAAAGATGCTTGTTTACAATACTGACTTCCAAATAAAATATTTTTTTAATTTCAACATAAACTATAACATGAAGTTCGAATGGAGAAAGGCTTGTATTGAGGACTGCCATGGCTATACTCAGAAGTTGTGCCTCGGTGAAATTATCGATTTTTATGAGAATTTTTTATTTATTTATGGGGTTTAACGTCAGCCACGTTTCCGTCGTGGACTCTCGGTGACGTCTAGTAGTTTTAGGGCGAAATTTGAGATGCCTTACCACGCGATTGGAAATAATTGAATTCGATATGAATCACGTCTTTTTGGAATAATTAATTGAGGATTTTTATCCATTTTCCAAAAATCAAATTTTTTACGTTCGAGGAAAATTCTGCAAATTGTAGAGCTGAGGGTGGAACATATGAAACCAACTCTTCGGATGACTAAAAAAAATCAGTTGCAACAGCTTTGACACAATGAAATGAACAATTTTTTTTGTTTTACACGGGATTTTGTGATTTATTTTCAAATTGATGATTCATAATTGAACTATAAGAAGACTTCAAGAACAAAAAAAAGAGGGTGATATGAAAAAATATACAGAATCTAATGGCCAAAGAAAAATCTGGGGTGTCTAGACCAATAATAGAGATATACAAAGTATTAAAGCCCATATTTTGATTCACCCATTTGGGATCATTTTGTTTATAACTTTAAAAAAGATCAATGTTTTTTTTAGTGCTAGCGGTTTGGGATAGACATATCTCAATTCTTTTGGAATTATCGTCACTTCGTTTTACGACTCCTGGAAAATTGTTTTCAGAAGTCATTTCTAAGTATTGAAGAGAAGAGGAAAAGACTTCTGGTCAGGTGGAAATTTCCTTTCTTCCTCTCATTTATAGTGACGATAACTCTTCAATCTCATCACCAGTTGTTTGGGAATCTTTGGAAAAATCAGAGTGTAAATGCTATCCTTTTGATGATTTGAGATCAATTTAAGGCAGCGCTAGTTTCATTGTAGTTGGATCTGTGAATGTAATTTCAACAATATTCCTATTTGTCCAGTAACATTATTCAGCTCTGATGTCCATTTTACCCCGGCTTCTCCCAATTTTTCCCAATTGTAACAGCTACGTGTTGAATTGGACGATGGATACTCTGATGCAGGATTGATTATAATTATTTATTTGAATGATTCGAGGAGACAGATTTTGTGGAATAGTCTGGTATTTTTCAAGTTTTTCATAATAAAATCAGTTTTTTCTTTAATTCTGCATTTTTTATGTACATTTGATTGGAGATTAAATAGTCATTGAGAAGATCGAGGAGGGCTCAATCATTGGTTCAAGGTAATTAATAAATTGCAAATTGAGTTATGAGCTGGTGAGCGAGGCCATGAGCAATTCCATCTTGTTGAGAAAGTTCTTCCCCTCCATTTTATCCCATCGTACCTCCTTGAATGATCCACCTAGGTTCTCCCATTTCCTCTCGCGTACTAATTGTCCGGGGAAGAAGTCTTTACGTGGAGCGTGAGCAATTGCGACCTGAACGCCCGTTTGAGGCTCACAACGGACGGCAATCATCCTGAAAAATGAAGATAATGGGAATTTCAGTTCGTTGGAATGTCATGTCTCTGTAATTATAGGGTAATAAACTATTTTTTGAGAAATTATTGAGTGAAATTTTAATGGTAAATTTCGTCGTCATCAGCAGAGGACTTGTGGATTTTTTTTAGACCTAGCTAATCAATACTAATATGAATTAACTACTGAAGTATCTCCATAATTTTGTCAATTCCTTATTTATTTATTTCATTTCTTCAACTATTTTGAAAAAAATTATCCTTAGAGTAAAAAATTGATTGTTGAGATTTTTTTGCTAGAAAAACATCGTAATCGTAAAAAATCGTAACTTTCGAATTATTTTATAATTCTTTCGAAAAAGTAGCCTTCTTATATTTTTTTATATTTCAAAAATGATTTCTCTTGTTGCAAAATGAAAAATTAAATTGATACTTTCAAATTTTAAGGGGGTACTTAGAAATCTTATCCTTTCCCCTCCTGTTACGGGGATTTTTTTTATAAAATTGAACTTTAAAAACAAAAATAGGGAAAGAAGGCAAAGGATTAATTGAACAATGAAATTCTTTATGCGATGCTCTTTCAACGCAATGTTGTCATAATGACATGATCTAACCACGGTATAAACCCAGAATCTTCCCCCTCCTCAAAAAACAAAAATAAAAATAAATCACATCATCCTACCTATCGCCAATCGGAGAAGCAAGAATGCAGCTGCTAGCATTTCCCAGTGGCTCGACAGCCCCCAACCCCAGATGCGAGCTATTCGCGAGGAACTGCCAGCCCATGCACTTGGCGAGACTCTGCACCGCACTGATCTGATGCTGGTGAATCTGACAAACAATCAAGTCCCTCAGCTCCTGAGGTTCATAGCTCATATGCATGACTCTCCCGTCCTTGCAGACGCACTTGAGTGACTTCTCCCCAACATGAACGACCAAAGAAGTCCGACAGACCGCATCATACCCATTCGTCCATATACTGATCTTGACAGAGGACTGGGTCGGTGAATTGAGTGCATTCCAATGAGAAACAATCAGAGGATCCTTGACTTCCTTAGCAATCGTATCCAAGACATACTCAGTCCTGATTCTCATAAAAAAGTGTTGTGCCTGCTGGATGATCTGCTCCAGCAACGTCTGGCTCTTGGTCATCTCAATCAACTCATACCTATCAGCAGCAGTGGGACCAGCAAGACACCTCCGCTTGCTGGGCCCCAGAGGCCCCGAGGATGGATGAGGAAAAGGATGATGAGTATTTTTATGATGCACCTCTCTCAACAGCTGATGCAGCGAGTGCTCCAGAACATGATCGTGATCAGACTTGTGAGGTGGTGGACTGGCCTTCTTGTCATTCCCAGTGCTGTGGCACAGCCCAATGATCAGCTGAATCCCAGGGAGGACTGTAGCCATTATCTGGTTACCCACCACCATGTGGGGAATGGGAGCCCTCAGGTGGACAGCCTCCCTCGCCAGTTGGCTGAACAGTTCCTTGCAGAACAGAACATTCTGCGCAGCCTCGAGCTTCTGCTGCCAGTGCATGTCAGCGTTCGAAGAGGCTGTGCTGGAGTTGAGGAGGTTGATGTTGGCGCTGCAGAGATCCTCCTGGTCCTTTTGGCACAGAACCTCGATGTAAGCGACACCCTGGAGCTCACTGGGAATCGTCACACGAAGGGCTGAGGCCTTTGGACTGTGCACTTGTGATTGGGGGACTGGAGCGTTTGGATTTGGCGACGCTGGGGGACTCGTCTGTGGCTTGTCCTCCTCCTCTGCCTTCGTCACCTCGAACATCCCTGTCTGGGTGTACTTGGAGCCCGCGGTTCGGTAACTCAAGTCCCCGATTATCGAGTTGGAGACCTTCTTCAGGCGCCAATTCTGGCGGAGTCGTAACAGCTCGATGTGGAAGTCTGGGGTTGTGCGGTTGCGTGCGAGCTCGTTCTGCGAGTTTCTGAGCCTCTCTGCACCCATCATCAGGACTGAGGCTGCACCTGCCAAGGCTTTCTTACGCGCGTAGACCTGAACCATCGGTTTCACTTCGGGGGGCTCCTGAGCCACTGGGTCCAGGACCATGTAGCGCTTCTCTTTTGCGATTGCCAGGACGTCTGCAAGGACGCAGACCTCGGTTAGGGCATTTCGGAGCTTTGAACGGACGCTGTCCCAGGGCCAGAGGGACGCCTGGAAGGACGTGGAATCGCGGGAATCTTCTTCGCTCTTGTCACCGTTCTCGGGGGTCGTCTCCTTTCGAGCCTCCTCGCCGTTGGGTTTACTGAAGTCGATCTTCTGGGCGATCTTTGCGAGGTTCTCCGAGAGGGTGAGAGGTCTGAAATCAATTGGGAAATTTTTTTCGGGCTTTTGCCATATTTTTACTGCGTATTGATTTTTTTTCATTTAATTCGACGACAAAATATTACATTTTAGGAACTTATTAGAAATGTCGGGAAATCCGCGCCCTCGGCTCGGATTATAAGGGGTATTTTATCAAACTAAAAAAGGGAACGCGCTTCGCGTGCATGTATTGGCTAGTGGTTTATCATATTATTTATGAGCGCTTTGTATTTATTGATTCTTCGCAAAGAGAAGTTGCTCTCATTGCGTCTTGATTTGAGAAAAAATTTGAATCTGTTTCGATAAATACCTGAAAAAAAAATCTTACCAGTAATAATTTATTGAAAAAAATATACACATTTATTTATTTATGAATAAATTTATTTTTTTAAGAATGAAGATAGAACCAGATCAAGACAAACTTGAAATATTCCTAAGTCTACCATAAGTTTGGCGAAATAGGTTTCTGACAATAAATATTTCACCTATTTTTTAACAGACGAACTTCTAAAACTATTATAATTTTTGAGTAAAGGAAATGTGCATGGTCCGAGCTTGTCTCTTTTATTATATTTTCAATTTTTTCAATTTTTTCACGTGGACACGTCTTTAATTTCATGATGGAGATAACATTCACCCAATGCAAAAAACTTCTGTCCCACGAATTTCATAATCGAATGTTGTCATAAATATTGCGGTTAACCAACGACTGTCTATCGCCGGGCAATTCCCTCAAATAAGTGAACTTACGCTTGATAGATCTCCTGTCCATCGTAAGCAATCTCCTGAATCTGATTCTCGATCGGCGCCTCCACCGATATATTCACCGAGTACGACATCACAATTTGTTTATCCACTCACATTTGACACTCAACCTTAATTGTTAACAACAATAACACGTAATAAACACCTTACACCACGCCACAAGTCCACCAATCCCCCGCGATCAGCAATGCCCTCTGAAGTTGTCTGCAAGCCCAAGAGAAAACAATCGTCAGAAAACTACAGTCTACAGTGCGTTTCACTCCACAGTGCGTTCCCCATCGGCGTCTGGGTTTGAGGTGACAAAGCTTCGGTCTCTCGGCATCTGTGGCATAGTCTGTGAGCCCCGGTCTGGCTCGCAAGTCTCTCCTATTGATTCGTGTACATGAATTCGTCGTCAGCACGTTTTAATTAGAATAAAAATTAACGTTAATCAGTTGAAAATAACGAGAGACGATAACTAGGAGAGACTCTTCGACGAGGAGAACTTCGACAATCGTAAGTGTCCAATTGCACTCCAAAAATTTTGTAGCATCGTAGTGATGGTGATGCCCGGATGAGAGTGAAGTGGTGAAGCCAGTCGATTCATTCCACCTCGTTGAACATGCAATAAATTATTTGTGGTGGAAATAGCAAGAGGCGTGGTTTTCGTGGAGTATTTCCTCGTGTAGGAAATACTTTTGCGTCTTGACATTTTTCTAAAGTCAGTCATTATTGAGAACGATTCAGTTATCCAAAATGTCAAATTCATCTTGGGGGAGAGTGGGGTAAAATGGACACTTGTGTAGCAAGAAAAATCGAATCAGTCAGTGAATTCTCGATTGAACTAAATCAATTCTTTTTCTTATTTGTAAAGACCCTCTGTTAAATTCAAGGAGAGTTTTTTTTAATTTTATTTTGGAGGAATTGTTGAAGATATTTTGAAGTTTCCATTTTATCCCACTTCTCTACTACGTTCTACCATGCCACTCCGGGTTTGCTCCATTTGTCTTGGAGCAGCTTTGTTACTTCCTTCTCTAAAGTATAGATTTTTCGTGTTAAAAACTTGGAATTCACAATTTCTCGGAGTAGGAAACTCAGTTCCCCCACCTCATTAAAGCTAATCGAGATAAATCTATTAATAATTACCGAAAATGTCAAATTCATCCTGGGGCAGAGTGGGATAAAATGGATACTTTTGCTTCAGAAGAAAAATTTCATTGAATTGAATTGAAAACTTGAATTGAGTCAGTGAATTCTCGATTAAAATCAATTCTTTCTCTTTTATTTGTAGAGATCCTCTATTAAGATCGAAGAACGATTTTTTTCGTTTGAAGTCATTGTTAAAGATATTTTAAAGTTTCCATTTTAGCCTACTTCCCCTATACTACGTTCTACTACGCCACTCCGGAATTGCTCCATTTGTCTTGGAGCAGCTTTGTTACTTCCTTCTCTGGAGTACAGATTTTTCGTGTTAAAAGCTTGAAATTCACAATTTCTCGAAGTAGAAAACTCAGTACCCCCACCTCATTAAATCTCATCAAGATAAATCTATTAATAATTACCGAAAACGTGAAATTCATCTTGGGGGGAGAGTGGGGTAAAGTGGACACTTTTGCTTCAGAAGAAAAATGGAATAAAAAATAGAAATCAATTGAAAAATTGAATCAGTGAATTCTCGATTGAACGAAATCAATTTTTCCTCTTATTTGTAGAGATCCTCCATTACGATGAACGATTTTTTATTTAAAAGAGTCGTTTTTGAGTCATTATTGAAAATATTTTAGTTTCCATTTTAGCCCACTTTCCCTATACAACGTCTTACTACGCCACTCCATGTCCGGCCTAAACAGACACCCATCCAAGTACTGGGCAGACTGAACGCACGAACTCAATTATTTCTCTTTTATTTGTAAAGATCCTCTACTAAAATCAAGGAGTGATTGTTTTATTTTATTTTGGAGTCATTGTTGAAGATATGTTGAAGTTTTCATTTTAGCCCACTTCCCCTATACTACGTTCTACCACGCCACTCCGGGATTACTCCATTTGTCTTGAAGCAGCTTTACTCTTTCCTCTGAGAAATGGCCTATGGTCGTCGTGAGCCGCAGCCGGATCAATTAAGATACATTTCTAGCTAATAATTATATTTTGTGGTTCAATCAAAAAGCGTGGGGATGTCTCAAAAAATTCCCGCTTTTCTTAATATATACAGCTACGCTCGGGCTGCGTTAAAAACCAAAGATTCAAGAAGGAAACATGAGAGAGATTTCAACAGATTTCTTGAGGAAAATATCTTCCACTAGAAAAAGCATTCGTCAACAATTTCTCCAAAGTCTCTAGATAAATTCACAGTTCCCAAAAAAGTTATATTTCACTCACTACTACGTTGTGCCACTCCACTCCACTATTGCTCCATTTGATGTATGAGATCAGCTGCAGGAGTTTTCCCCTTGACTTACGCATGATTCAGATACAAAAATTTGTGGTCCACGATCGTTACGATTTGAGTGAAGTAGTGAATCGAATAAATTTTCCCTTTAAGGCTCGGATGGGCCTTTCAAACATTATCTCGTCTTTTTAATAATATTGGGAAACAAACCCAATATTAATATGGAGGACATTGCAAATTAATAATTGCCATCTTCATAATCTTAAATAGATCACAATTTCCACTGAGTGAATTTTTTATCACGCAGGAGTCCCTAAAAATTATGATTGTACAATCAAAAACGTAGAAAAAAATGAATATTTGGAAAGAACGCTTTTAATAAATATTAGAAAATAAGTTCGTTAGAGAGGAAATTGTAAGTGTATAATTGTGTGTTAATTTATCATGGGAACTAACGACCCGACAAACCATTGGCTACTGTGACAAACGACGACCTAACAGCCATTAGATACAGTAAAATATTAATTTGCAATGTCCTCCATATTAATATTGGGTTTGTTTCCCAATACTATTAAAACGTTCTTTGAGAATATTCTTTTTTTTGTAACGTTTTTTTGTTTATACAATTATAATTTTTGGAGAATCGGGGGCTGTGTAAACTTTAATGACAATGGGAGAACATAATAGATAATAATAGATTCTCAAAATAAAATAGACAATCAAGATGACGTTCGAAAGATAATACACGCCGGCCTTAAGCGATAACGGTACTCCTTGCGTGTGCTGAATTTTAAGTGTTTCGTCTCCATAGTTATGAATTTTTGTAAAGCAAAAAACGTCAGGCACTACACAATTTAGCAATGGAGCGAATGAAGTTTTTTGGTTTCCAAAAATTAATAACTATGGACACGTCATTGGCTACTGTGACAAACGACGCCTAACGGCCATTAGATACATCAAATTATTAATTGGCAATTTTCTCCGTATTGGATTTGTTTCCCAATATGATTCAAAAACGTTCTTTGAGAATATTCGTTTTTTGCAACGTTTTTTTGTTTGTACAATTATAATTTTTGGAGAATCGGGGGCTGTGTAAACTTTAATGACAATGGGAGAACATAATAGATTCTCAAAAAAAATAGACAATCAAGATGACGGTCGAAAGATAATACACGCCGGCCTTAAGCGATAACGGTACTCCTTGCATGTGTTGAATTTTAAGTGTCTCGTCTCAGTATGAATTTTTGGAAAGCAAAAAACTTCAGGCACTACACAATTTAGCGATGGAGTGAATGAAGTTTTTTGGTTTCCAAAAATTAATAACTATGGACACGACATTGGCTACTGTGACAAACGACGGCCTAACTGCTATTAGATACATCAAATTATTACAATCAAAGACATTTTACGACCGGTATATTGAACATCTATATTATTCCTTGGGCTATTTTACTCGGTCAACCTTAGATGTTTTTAAGGCATAAATTACTTGGAAAGCGGGATGCTATATGCTATCCATCGACTTTTCGGACCTCTATATGAGGGAAATAATTGAATAATTATCAATGCACAAATAAAAAAATTCGGAGGCACACGGGCTCGAACACAAGTGGGGTATGATCCCACATCTTCTGTTTGCCGGACAGGTGCTCTGCCAATTGAGCTATTGTCGCCTCCTCCGCATCCCCGAATTTCAGAACTTGTGCATAGCATCCCGCTTTCCAAGTAATTTATGCCTTAAAAACATCTAAGGTTGACCGAGTAAAATAGCCCAAGGGATAATATAGACATCAAATTATGAATTTTCAATTTTCTCCCTATTGGTTTTGTTTCCCAATATGATTCAAAAACGTTCGTTGAGAATATTCGTGTTTTTGTTTACCGCTTCGCTACTGAATTTCTTGCCTATAAAAATGTATGCCAATCCACCAGTTTGTTAATCATAGAGATTTTCCGGGAACAATTTTCCGGGGAACAGGTATCCTAGAGCCCCATCTAATACTCCCTTCAATCGTTATTGCCAATTAGAAATAACTCAAGGAGTTTCTCTATTGCCCCCTGACTTACAGATTTTTCAGGAGGAAAAAAAATCGAGGATTCACGATGACTCCCGACGGATACACAAGAGTGTACGTAGGTGGTCTCAACGAGACAATAAAGAAGGAGGATCTACAAATGGAATTCGAGAAATTCGGAAAGCTCAACAAAGTTTGGGTGGCATTCAATCCGCCCGGTTTTGCATTCATCGAATTTTTGTCCCTCGATGAGGCTGAATTAGCCTGCAACAATATGAATGGTACAGAGATAATGGGTGCCAAATTGAGGGTCGAGATATCGAGGGGACGTGGCAGAGGTGGTAGCAGAAGTGGTGGAAGTGGTTTTAGGGGTGGTAGTAGGGGTGGTAGCAGGGGTGGTTTTGGACGTGGCGGTGGTGGTTATCGTGGTAGCGGTGGATACGGTGATCAAGGGGGCGGTTATCAGAGTGGTGGACGAGGTGGTAGAGGCAGGGGACGCTACGGTGATAGCTATTCATCGGGGAGAAGCTCAAGTGGTTACGTATCGCGTGATTCTTATGGACAGGATGGTTATGGCTCGTCATCTGGTAATTCTGGATCAAACTACTACTCTGGAAAGGATTCAGGGACATCGAGATACCGAAGTCGTTCACCGGCCGGACGTGGCAGGTACAATAATTGACCAAAAAAAAACAAACAATAAGATGAATACACAATTTTATCTACAAATTGCTTTGATTTCGAGAAAATAATCTGCACTGGTGGTCTTCGATCAGCCATTACGCTTCGAATTATTGAGTATCAGTAGTTGTTGTCGTGAAGACACGACTCTTTAGATTCTTCCACGTTGTTAAGTATGGAATTATCTCGGTAATTATTAATTTTAGAAGAAAATGCCTAGGGCAAGACAGTTCTTTGACATTTTCTCTTAAAACCACTCGTTCCTGAGATAAATGGACTATTAACAAAACTGTGAAATTTGTTCACTCTATTTGATTAACTACGAGTCTACGTCTCTAATGTCTGTCACAATCTCTACGATATTCGTGTCCGAGAAAGTGGATTTTAGATGAATCATGAGCATACGAATACCAACAACAAAAACAAAACTGCATGCGCAGCAATTTTCTGTGATAATGAAAACCTAAAAGACTGTTAATTGTTAAGTAAAGACATTCTATAAATCAGATTTAGGAAAAAAAAAATTTATCAAAACGATCAAGTGAAAACATGTAATGTGTGTCAAACTATTTTGCACTTCAATGTTCACAGTCATCGTCATCTTCGTGAATGCACATAAAGAAACTTCGCTACGTTGCCAATCAGAATCTGCGGGACAATTCAGCTATTTCCGCCTCATCGAACTACGTACTCTGTCCAATCTACGCATCGACGTGTACATAACAAGAAATTTTACTGTAAAACAAGAAAACATGATAATTGAAAAAAATAACCATTATCGAAACAACAATTGTGCTATGAATTTATGTTTCGTTTACGATCTTTTTTTTTTCTGAAACGGTTTCGCAAATTCATGGACTCCAACTTTTCATCAATTGTGACATTTTATATTTCTTTTTTTTTTCGGATTCAATTTAATGAGATTTGTTTTTACATATATCGGGAATGAGTGAATTATTCTGATGAGTCAATCGCGGAGTTAAGACTGATAAGGAGTAATGCGGTCGCGATTATTTGTAGTTACGCGTAATTTCACGATTAATATGGTAATAATAAATCAGTAGGGGAGGTGGATAGTGCAGCCGAACGAGTTGAGTTCTACATTTTGTTTGATGTTTATTTATATTTGACGAGTGATTTTAGGGGAAAATTTCAACGCTTTTTTCTTTCTAGCTGAAATATCTCTCATCAGAAAATGTCTCTTGACACTTTCCATTCAAATTACTCATTATCTAGATTACTTCATTAGTCATTCATTCATTAATCATTCATACACATGTGAATCGAAGCTGGACATGAAAAGGATTTGTTAATTTGAAAAAATGTCAATAGGTTTCTTTTCTGGCTGAGGAAATTTCCTAGAACAATGTATCTCAACATTTATGTTTCAAATCATTCGTTACCGAATTATTTACATAACTACATGAATATGATGGATCCAGCAAACTCCATTTTGATTGGGAAATAATTTTTTAATTAGAAAAAAATCGCATAATTTTTTTGGACTTGGTAAATTACCATAAAAATTTTCCTCTGATAATTTTGTAGTGACGCGTAATTTAAAAAATAATATGGTTTATTGATATTTGGTGAGTGATTTTATGGGAAAAATTCAACGATTTTTTTTTCTAGCTGAAAACCCTCTCACCAGAAAATGTCTCTTGACACTTTTCATTCAAATCGCTCATCGAAACAACTTCACAATCATCCCTACACATTTGAGTGAAAACTCGACTCGAAAAGCATTTGTTAATTTGAAAAAATGTCAAGAGATTTTTTTTCTGACTGAGGAAATTTCCTAGAACAATGTATCTCAACATTTACGTTTCAAATCATTCGTTGGCGAATTATTTACATAACTACATAAATATGATGGATCCAGCAAACTACATTTTGATAGGGAAATAATTCTTTAATTAGAAAAAAATTCCAGAATTTTTTGGAACGTGGTAAATTGCCATAAAAATTTTCCTCTGACAATCTTTCGCAGTATCACTTACGATCGAGATAATAAACATCAACGGATATCCAACAAAATTTCAGAGATTGACTTTTTCCGTTATGGAACCCCCTCCACTACTGAATGAAAACATCTTCCTATTGCTCCAAAGCGGCAATGAACAACTTGATTTTATATTTTATACGACATATACATCGTTCAATCTTCTTGTTTTACTCGCCTACATAAAAAATAGAGCTTTGAAATTCTATAAATTCCAATTGAACATAGAACTATACAAAAGTAGAGAAGAAAACTAAAATTTGTTGTTATGCAAAAAAAATTTGGTAATTGTTGCTATCAAAGAGCAGCAATAGTTCTAAAAAAATGAATTATGGACATGAATTATTTCTTGGCTGATTATAATTGAATTAAGTGCAGACAGTAAGCAATCTGCGATGTTTAAACATTCAATGTAAAATGATAACTTGGTATTTGGAACATAATTAAATAATTTACGCTCATTATTACCGTACGCCACTCTGCCTCTACCCAAATCACTTCTGTCCCCCTTGACAGCAGCCGTATCCAACGAAAAGCCAATCAAAATCATTAAAAATTGAATGGACCAATTGGAAAAATGGAGCGGAAGACAATTTTGCAATAGCAATTGTGCAATAATTTTTTTATTTCCCGATGAGATCACAGGATAAATACATTCACAGGTAAAAAATAAATATGAACAAGTGCTATTTGATGGTGGCAAGGAGAGCTGCTCTTCTCTCAGTATTCTGGAAGAGAGCTCTTATCAACTGCTTCACCTGGGTCGATGTGAATTCATGAGCAAGGGGCCCTTTACCATCTGCCCAACGATCCTGAATGTCTCTGAGTGATGCCTCTAGTATTTTAATGAGTTCCAGCAGCTTCTGCCATTTGCTCACGTTACGATTTATTGCATGTGGATCCTGGAAGGTAAAGGTAAATTTTTGAACAGGTATTGGCTTTTTGTACTCATCCTTTTTATAATAAAAATGATTTTTCATAATTGAAGGGCTTTCATTTTAATTTGATTCCCTCGTTTTTTTTGTAATTAGAAACTCATCGGCGGCACTAGTTTTGCGATGATTTATTGAACTGTAGACTATTATGCGAGGTGACTTTTCTATGTCATGAAATTTCTTGACGGAGATATCTATAAGAATCTAATTCGCTCATTTTGAGGGAAATTGATTGATTTCATTTTATTACCTCATTACTGACGTGCAAGAGAAACATGGATTAGTAATTGTGTATTTTTTCTTTGTAATTCATGATCTAATATTTACATTTGAGGAAAATAGAATACAAACTGTATCAAAATTGATTCGAATTCATCGAAAATTTTGCATTGGTCTCTGGAATGAATGATTTTTGAAAAGATGTTAGGGAATCCTTTTAGTAGTCAAACAAAATCACTCCTCAAGATAAGTTCATAATTGACATGAGAAAAATTTGAAATATTAGCAATTTACATAATTTCCTTAAAATTGCAAGGGCAGCATATCCGTAAGAATATAATTCATTGATATTATTTTATCATTTCACTATTGATATGCAAAAGTAAGATGACTTAGGAATTGTGCCATTTTCCTTTATAATTCACGATATAAAAATCATATTTGAAAACAATAGAATACGAACTGTATTAAAATTGCTTCGAATTTGGTAAAAATTTCACATTTGTGTCGAGATTAAGTGATTTTTGTAGAAAATGTTGGTGAATTTTTTAAATAGTTGAATAAAATCACTCATTATTGAGATGCATTGATAATTGACACGAGACAAGTTTAAAATATTGATAATTTACTCAATTTCTTTTGGGAATTTCAGTTTGAAATTCATTATCATTCAGGATCTATAGATCATACTTGAAGAGATAAAATACGAAAGAGTGAAATGTGACAGGACCTCATCATTCACCATCAAGATCAATTGATAATTAACATAAAAATGGTTTTAAATATTGGAAATTTATACAATTTCTCTATGATTGTGAGGGCAGCATTGTCAGGGAATCTTTTCAGTGGTTGAATAAAATCACTCCTTACCGAGATGAATTGATAATTGTCATGAAGTTTAAAATATTGGTAATTTACCCAATTCCTATTGGGCATTTCAGTTCGAAAGTCATTATCATTCACGCTTTATTAATCATACTTGGAAAAATTAAACATGAAAAACAGACATTTTTGATTATCCATTTATCAAGATGAACGGATAATAAAAATAAAGCTTATTTTTAATATGGACAATTTACACAATTTCCTTATGGCTAGGAGGACAGAAAAGCGTGATACGATCATTTTTCCGTTTAGCTTCTAATTTCAATTTAATTTTTTTGATTTTTTACTTACTGGAAATATTGCTGGCACTCGTTTCACTATTATATTGAACAATCCCACGAGTTCGGTTGCCACAGCTGCTGGAATGTCTTCTACTGTTATCACTTTCAGGACCAAGTCTTCGATCATTGAATTCGTGATGCATCCTGAATGAAAGAAGGTCAAAATTGATTGAGGAATAATATTTACGAAGTAAACAACGGGAGTGGAGTTCACCTAAAGCTTTGCAGTAAGTATTCACTGGGAGTACCTCTGACCATACTGTTTTCAGTAATTCTAGTTGACGTACGCACTGCCGCAGGGCTCTCTCTGTACCTGGAGGTAGTTTCGAACTCTGGCCTAGTTGGGATAGTCCTGTAAATAATTAAGTACATGATAATTCTTAATTCAAGTCACGAAGGGTAATATTTTAAATATGGATTAATCAAACGATTCAGATTTAACTTCTTGTTTCTTTTAGAGTAACTATAACGACCTACCAGAGTCCCTGATAATTTCCGTAATGATATTTCTCTGATACTTCATATGATTCATGAAATATTCAGCCCCAACTGCTCGTAATTTCAATGTGAGATCCACATAAGTCACATTATGCTTCTCCAAGTGCGTTGGAATCTTGTCGTGGTACTCGTGCCCCAGTGTCATCAGGTGATGAGCAAAGTACATGCAGTTATTGTGGAATAAGGCAACCTGTTGGGGAATAGTCTCTAGAAATTTTTTGTGGTACTCCGGGACCGCTCCAGCGTACATCTCGAAGATGTTTCTACTTGTGTAGTACAGCCTCACTGAGCATGCCTCAGGACTGCGCGTCACCTCATCCAGAATGCTTCTCACTAACTCTAGAATTTCTCGTGCGCTTTTGCTAATCTGACATGAAGGCAATTGGAATGTATTTTTGCTCAATTTCCTCTCCATGATTGTGTCACTGGGGTTTCTATCACTGAGTTTATCTTGGAGTAATGGGAATTCTGGAACCTCGGGTTCGTATTTGAAGGCGTCGTGCAGATCTTTTTTCATTATTTCTCTAGCAGTGTTTAGCAGCCCTTGACACTTTTTATCGATGTATAAATGATCGATATTGCTGATGTATTGAGAGAGGAACAATTCCTCAGGTCGAACGAATCCTAGAAAAAATACGAACGACATTGATTTCTGGATCACGTGCGAATGAAATTTTGTAGAAAAAATTTGCAAATTCGTCAGGAAAGTCTATTGGATTCTATTCGAAAATCCCGCAGCTTTACTTCGCATTTTATCATGGAAAATGTCCAATAGAAACTATTTAATAGAAAAAATTAGTAGAATTTGATCTTTCGATGCAAATTTTTATATTGAGGCATTTTCTACAGTAATTTCTCGACATAAGTGTTCCCATTTTTTTTCACTCTGTTTTCCTTTTATTAAAAAAATCACACGAAAAAACTAGGGAGATTTGAGCCGAGGAATTTCTATAGAAAATATCTCAATCCAATAAGTTGCATGGGAAAATGAAATGCTATTGATTTTCTCGATAAAATATTTTCTATTGGAAAAAGTCCGCAAAAAGCTGCGGAACTTTTCAGTAGAATCGCCGATGAAAATAGAATTTTCAATAGAAGAAAACTCTTCAATAATAAGATATCCAATTCTACTCATCAATCTCAATGAAAAAGTTAATCAATTCAAGAACATTCGTGCAACTATTTCACAAATAACACTAGAACGGTGTGGTTTATTGATAAATATTGAAAGCTATTCTTGTAATTCATGAAGTCTCTTACTAAAAATAAATCCTGATAAATTCTTCAAATTTTCTAATGAAGCTGAAACTAGCAGAATATTCGTCAGCGGAAAATTTAATTTAGGAGATAGTTAAGTGTAGGAGAGGAGAGTCAAATAATCATATGTACAAATGTTTTTCAACTGCGAAACAGTTTGTACATTACTTAAAAACATTTATACACCTCTAGATTTGCCTAAGACAAATCCTCTGCTGTCGAATCTTTCGTTAGTTTCAGCTCCATAATTTTCTATTGATTCCTTTACTTCTTTACTCTTAAAAACGAAGATGAACAAATTTATCAATAACAGGAGATCCAATTCTACTCACCAATCTCAACCAAATAATTCTCAAACTCCTGTACATTCTCCTCCACCTCTCTAAAATTCTGCAGCTCAGCACTGGAATCAGGAATAGTCTTGGAGACACAATTCTTTATCAACTCCTCCTCGAGCCTCTCGAACAATTGTCCACTGATGAGTCCAATGAACGTTTTCTCCTCAACATTGCACTGAAAATGTTGATTCAGGAATTGAAACAGCAGCTTCAAATTATGAAGAGTGCTCTTGTACGTGGGCGACTGTTTCTCATTCAAGACATTCACATTGAACACTGTTTTCTCAGCAACATAGACCGAGCAATCATAATGGATGATAGGAATGATGAATCGTTTGAGGATTTTTGTGCAGAAGAACTGAAGACTGGGGGAGAGCTCCTCGGCGTAATGCAGAGCTTGCAGGAGGTCCTGCATCTGTTTTGGCTGACAGTCGATCCTTAAACTGATTGAATTGTCTTTATTACTTTTTGAAGATGGCTCCGAGCCTTGGTGATCACTCCAGCAAACCGTCTGCTCCCATATTCCCTTGATTGTCGATAAAAATGTACTGTAGGCAGTGAAGTAACAGTCCCTGATGGGAGGGTATATGTTCAACAATTTCAGATCGTTGTCTTCTCTCTTGTTCAGGATTCTCTGCATTCTTTTGAACACTCTTGCTGCTTCCACGTAACGCTTCTCTTGTTGTAGTTTATCTACTGTTTTTAGGGAGGTGTGCAACTCTAGGAGTTGAGAGGAAAGGTCCAGGCTGAGGTTGGAAGCCTCCAGGGCTTGAGATAGACTTTTCAATTCTTTGGTGGAACCTGAGAGCTCCACTTTTATCTGTAAGTGAAAAATAATTCAGTAGTGGAGTAGAAGGATTCAGGGATTACAGAACAATAGTTGGAAAGAGAGCTGTAAAAAAGGTTTTCATCACGATTGAACTGTTTTCTTGAGACACAATTCGAATATAAAAACGACGAAAATTCGATGAGTGCTTGCTCTGACAGTTGTCGTTGCACCCAAACCCCTGAATGGTTTGTGTTTATTTTGGGACATTTGTTACTGAATTGAAAGCAAATGAGGAAATTTAAAAACAAATTACCTGATCCTCTATCCTGTTCTTCAATCCTTTCATGTTATCCACCAATTTGTCAGCCCTTTCTATCAAAATTGTATCCTTCTCCACTTTCGCCAGAAAATCTACGTAGTTATCATCGATGAATTGATTCACATCGGTTTTCAGAAGGATTATCTCCTTCTGGATTTCACTGATCTTGTCTTTCAAATCTGCTGCTTCAATTTTAGCTGGAATAATTGTTTACGTGGTGAGTATTTTCGTGAGTTTCGAGGTGGAATAAAGGGTCACGAGGGCTCACCTGTTGTGCGAAGCACCTTAGCTACCAACGATGAACTCATGGTAATTATTGTAATTAATTGCTATAGAAAAAACTGCGGGGGAACATTAGTTGTTTATGAACAAACCGGTGTCTTGTTCCAACTGACGCAGCGTCACAGATGACGGTTCACCATTCTGAGGTTATGTTTCGATTGAAATTCTTGCTTCACAGCCAATCATATGCAAGAGGGGGAAATTGTGGCCTGAGGGGGTTAATATCCTTGTATCCGAAATTCAAAAGCATTGATTTTCCGAAATTTGAAAACATCGATTTTCCATGCCCAATCATCGATGTTTTTCATTCGATGCCTTCAACGGCCGATTAACCGATTTTCGATTCTTTTTTCCAAACATCGATGTTTCTGCAGAATTGACTGCAGTCATGATTAAGCTAACAAGTTTTAATTTTTTTGTCGAATAATAATGTTGAGTGAGAATAAACTAAATAATAATTTTTGCTGCAGTACGTATGGTATAAATGATAAGTGAACAAGTAGTCGTCTATTTTTTTTTTATTTTGAAATTTTGAAATTTTTTCTTAATTTAAATTTTTAACAATTATTGCAGTTAATGTCCTCACGGAAAATATTCAATATATTTTTTTCAATAAAAACGAGAAAAAAAAATATTTTTAACAATGTTTTTTTTCTGTGTAATGAGAAAAACAGATTTTTTTAATAATCGACGTTTTTTCAGAAAAATCGATTCACGATCATCAATGCTTTTAAAAAACATCGATTCTTCGATAATTGATATTTTTTGAAACATCGCCTATTCCTAAGTCTGAGGGAGAAAATTTTACGGCAAGAAAAAAAAATTGTGGGCATCATTATTGTGGGGGGGGGGGGAGAAAAGTCGGTAGACCGTTTTTTTACATGACTAAAGCCCTAGGAATAACTAATAAATCATAAGGGTAAATGAGAGGAAGTCTATAGTTTTATTACTGAAAGTGCGTAAATTATACACGTCCGTCATTTCTGTAGTACACGCGGAAATCATCAACAATATACGTATAATTTATAACGATAAATACAATACTATACATTATCATACAATCAGAAAGAATAAAATATCACATTGCCTAGTACTCGAGGAAAGCTTTGTCAGATAAGTATAAAAAATAACTGTTTGATCATCGAAATCAATTTCTTTACACATTATTCTGTACTAAGTTCTGTTGTTTCGAAATTTTCAAAATTTCCTTTATCGTATTATCGCAGACCAGTGAAAGATTCTCCTCGGTACTACTCTTTTTTTCATTCTCTTGAGAGTCTCGGGGTTCCTCAGACGAACAGTTGTTTTCCTTTTCGATTTCGATATTAGACAGAAAATCGAAATCCATCAAGTTTTGGTTCTTGTCAAGTATGTTTCTCGTATTATAATCTGAAAGGTTAATTGATAAATGCGAATTATAACAATGTCAATTAAAATGTAAACATAATCAGAAAATATTCTGAAATATGATTGAAAGCTCTCAGGTAATGGTAATGGCCAATCACAAGTTTCTACATGAATTTACCACAAATTTTGCTAAGACAAAAAGTATCAACAAAACAAAAGGGGTGTCAATGAATTTTCCAATTTTTTATTATTATTTTGACTTTTCAACCGAAACACCTTAATGAAAAACTAATTTGATATCTCGATTCTTGCGCAAGTGCGTACAAGAATTTCAGTAGAAAAACAAAAACGGGAATATTTCGGAACCTTTGCACGAACGGGTATACATTTTTTGATTGATATAGGTGATATTGAGACGAATATTTAAAAAAAATAAAAGCGAAATCAGTTGCATGGTTTTTTGTCATTCTGGCCGTAAGGCAGCGTTTCCCGGACGCTACGCGTCCGTTTTCATTGCATGAGATTTTTTCGACTAGGATTAGAAAAGTAATAATTTCGAGTAGACATAAGACCAAATTTTTCGACTGGGGAACATTGGCAATGAAATGAAAGAACCCGTAAACACCATCAGGTATTCTCAATTGGGAAGAAAGAAGATACCACGAAAAGAACACTTACCATAATCTTTGAGCGACTTCATCTCGTGTGGACTCCATTTCACGATAATTGGGTCTAAAAGGGGCTCCACTTGCCCATGTCCATCTTTTTCATTATCGCAGATTACCAGGATACTATCTTCACCATTCAGCTTAATATCACTGAGTGTACCAGAAAGGGAATCAATGTATCTATCTAAATCGAGGTCCATTATATTTCCACTCCCATGAAGGTGATCGTTGGGGTTGACATCTAAAATATTTGAATAGAAAAACCGCAATTAGGAAATTGTATATTTCGTCATTAGGCCGAAAACAAATTTTTTGCGATACCTCCTTGAAAAGTTGACTTTTCGAAACCATTTAGTATGCGTAAAGTGCTTGTTTTACGCATGGCGTGCGTAAAGTGAATTTCGCCTCGCTTTACGCACTCGAAATTTAGTTTACGCACGACCTTAAACTTTACGTACTTCGTGGACAAAACAACCACTTTACCCCCACCACCGTTCCGAACAGTGAACTTGGCAGATATCACAAAAAATGTGTGTTACGCGTGCGTGCGAAAAAATGGTTCTTTACGCACTTGTAACACAATATACTATTTTGGCGAACATGAGTTTGCAGCCCGCGCCGAAGACAAGGGTTGCAATCATATGAGCTAGAAAAGTTTTTTCCGCCACGGCGGGCGCAAATTGCACATTTCCCTCCCGCGAAGCGCATTCGGTCGAAACTTCTCCAGAACATTTAATACCACACGCACGAAAAAATTTAATAGAAAAACCTATCGAATTCATTAGAAAATTCTATTGAATTTCTATTAAACTTTCCATTAGTTTTTGGCAGATTCTATTGACATGTTCAATATAGAAAACATTCAATAGAAAAAGTCAACAGAATTCGATTTTTCTATACAACTTATTCTTTTCAAATATTTTCTATAGAATTTGCTCGACTCAAATTTTCCAAGTTGTTTTCATTCTATTTTTCTTTTTTTCTCATCAAGAAAATCAAACGAAGAAACTTAGAAAATTTGAGCCGAGGAAATTATATAGAAAATATCTCAATACAATAAGTTATATAGAACAATTGAATTCCATTGACTTTTCTGCTGAATATTTTCTATTGAACATTTCAATAGAATCGGCCAAAAACTAATAGAACACTTCAATAGAAATTCTATACAATTTTCCAACGAATTCGATAGATTTTTCCATTAAATTTTTTCGTCCGTGCAATAGAATGCCATTATAGTTCTCATTGTTCTCCCGTGTTACAATCATCTTTAAATCAACAGTAAATCAGTAATATGAATACTTACCAAAACTAATGGGTGGCTGAACCTCTTTTATATCCACTTTTACGACGTAATCAGGACTCGAAATGGGCTTAGGTTGCGCGTGCCTATTTCGTTGATCATGGACAGGGACTTGATGTCTGTCCTTGATTCTGGGTAAAGTGCTCCCACAAACTGGATACTGACGCATACAAGGAGAGGATTGAGACATGAATGGTAGAAATTGATTGCAACTGGGTGGCAGTGGCGGGAAGCACTGGCAGGGGTATTCTGGATTGTTGAGCATCATTGGACACATGTTGGGATTTGCAATCAATGAAGGGTACATTGTTGGATCAGGTGAAGCTCTTGGAGTCATTGGAAACAGTGGATCCTCAAAGTACTTTGGTCTCTTGTGACGATGCATTGCAAACCCTCCGGTATCCAAATTCCGATTGTAATAAAAATACTGTCTCTCCTGGGGAATATTGTACAGTACTATCTCTTGTTTTGGTACAATACTGCCTGGATCATTCGTATCTGGAGACTCTGGCTGATTTGGAGCCGGGCATTGGCTGCATGATGGGATATTGGAGACCTGGAGCGACTCACAGCTGTCGAAGACAGGCCTCTTGCGCTTTGAGGAAAGATCCATTGTTGCATTCACTCCAGCATTTTTGAAACATGCTGGAGGTAGAAGTATGAAGGGAATGGCTTTGCCAGCTTCACCAGTCGATGGCTTTGTCAGTTGTATCATCACGCGGACTGGACTCTCGGTATCTCTGCGAGTGTAGGTGGGAGTTATGACACTAATCGTCGTCTAAAACAAATTAATGGATGTCAAAAATCACTTTGTTCTGGGGGTCTAAGGTAATGGATTGAAGAATTAATTCTCTACGGGTACACAGGGGTTACTCATCACCCCGCCGAGTTTTTCTAGATTGTTAAGTAATTTCTTGTGATCCCTTTGACTGCTGCTGACCGAAATATGGCCCAAAACCACTCCCAACGATTGGAAATGAACGGTGGAGAACTTCGCTTTAATTTCAATAGAATATCTCTGTATATTATCAAAATCGAAATTGACTTCTGGTGATAAAAATTTGGTACTCGACATTAAGACTCCACAATTAACGGTTACAAGGGTCGAAATAAGGGTCACGAGGATCAAAATAATGACCATGAGCGTCGGAATAAGGGCATAAAGGTCAGAATAAGGGTCGTAGCAGTCAGAATAAGGGTCACGAGGGTCAAAATAAGGGTCATGAAGGTCAGAATAAGGATGATGAGGGTTGGCGAGCGGAGCGAGCAGGGGGCGTAGCCCTCTAGTATTATATAGAAAACCCAAATTTAATATAAGCTAGGGCTAGGTTTGTCTATAATTTTTTTTTTCGTGCATGTCGAGTTGTGTCGTTTCTTCTAGGACGATTTGTGTCGATTTGTATTTTGTACGAACTAAAAACAGTATTTTTCGTTTCTGTGGCGAAAAAATTTTTTCTGGTGAATATGATTTTGCAATTGTATGAGCTAGAAAAGTTTTTTTTCTCATAACAGCCGTAGACAGGGATGTCAATCCCTGACCAGACGCAACGCGGCCACGGAACGCGGCCGCGGTGCGGGATGACGGACGCGTTGATTTTTCTTTTCTTCCCATCAAGAAAATCAAACAAGAAAAGTTGGAAAATTGGAAACTTGGAAACTTGCGAAAATTCTGTAGAAAAAATTTCAATAGAATAAGTTTTACAGAAACTCCGAATTCCATTGACTTTTGCGGTATTGTATTTTCTATTGAACATTTCAGTAGAATCGGTCAAAAACTCATAGAAAACTAATCGAAAGTTTAACAGAAATCCAATAGAATTGTCTGGCGAATTCGCTAGGTTTTTCTATTAAATTCTTTCCTACGTGTTATCCGACTGTCAAAGATAGAATTTTGAATTTTACCTGATCATCGTGATTATTCCTTGGAAGTGGATCCTTAAGGGCTGCCCAAACGACCTGATCCTTTTTCATTTCGAAAAAACGAATCTTGACGTCTTCTTCGATCACTTTATGCCCGGATATAATCAGTGATGTTCCTCCGGCGGTTGAAGCCACCTTAGCACTCAATTTAGATATTTTCAGATTAGTGGCTGTTTGCTTGTCATAAATTGGGTCGGACACGACTGGCGTGAGTTTTCTGGTACATTTTTCAGTGGTGCGATCAAAGAGGAAGACTTGAAAGCACAATCGCACTACGTTGAGGTCGATTGATGCTGGATCCTCACTGTGATCGTAGCCCTGTTGGAATGGATCCACTCGGATTTCCTTTCTCTCATCCAGGGATTTTTTAACGTCTCTTTTCCTGACGCATTGAATGCCAATATTTTTTAACTCGATTTCGTTGTCGTCTGGTCGTACTGTGGTTGCAAAAACTCCGTGATTCGAGCCTTTATCTTTACTCACGAGACGATGAGGATGCACTTTGTAGGGTGCTTCTTTGGTCACGCAAGAAACGATAACGTAGGCATCTGTGTCGAGTCCAATAATCTAAAACGTTCAAATTTAATTCATTTTTTAGAGAAATCGGATTCTAACACATTCGAAACAAGCGGGGGTACGAGTCTGTCCGACAGAAGGCATGTGGCTGTTACTTTTTGCGTTATTAGTCTATTTCTTTTTTTTGGACCAATTCCATTGGTACACTGAAAACAAAATTATTTTTGCCAAATATCCATTTACACGGAGAGAAATGTTCAGTAAAATTGCAGGCGGCTGTATCTTCGATACAGCGGTAATTGTACGTGGATACGTCCATGGTCTTTCCTTCTTTCTCGAATTTCCTAGAAACTCCTTGAATTCTGTCGAATTCTCAAGAAACTCCCTGAATTTCCTCGAAATTTCAAGAAATTTCTCGAATTACCTCGAAATGTTTAGAATTTTCTAGAATTCCGATAGATAGCACTGCACATAAGGACCGTTTCCCAAAATGACCCCCCATATTGAAACGTCAAATATTACGGAACTCACAGATCACTCACCGTTTATGGAATCGACACGAAAAATCTAAGTTCCGATATCGTAATTTTACACAGGCGATTCAGGCAAAAAGTACGGAACGCTCTAAAAAAAATTCCTTGATTTTAGGTACAAATTACGTGACAGTTCCGTAAAACTTCCTACAATCACAATTCCCTCCGGAATTACGGAACAAATACATAATTTTTATTGAATATTTCTCTCCATGTACTTGAGAGAAATATTAATTTTTTCAATACCACATTTCTCCAGTCGAGTCATTACCAGGTAATCCCATTAGGTTTCAATTATGACAATTATATTGCTCTAGGAGATGATTATGTTAGTTATTACCTTTAGTAAAGTCCTTCAATAAATATCAACATTGACAAATTAATCGAAATTCTTGCCTCTAGAAAATAGTAAATTTAAGAAAAATGAAAAATCATTGGAGGAGTTCATCCAAGATCATGTGCAACATAATCATCCCCTAGAACAACACGAGTGTCATAATTGAAACTTAATCAGGCTCGCTTGGGAATGACTCGATTGGGGAAATACGACTTTGAAAAAATAAATACTTCTCTCAAGTAAATGAATATTTGGAAAAAACTTATTTTCTCGGTGCAGTACGCTTCCGAATGGATGCGTATCGAATCGAATGAAAATTGTGGTGCGTGGAGCATTTCAAAGCGAAAAAAACGAAAAACGGCGTTTTCGGCTGACATACGGGATAAAATGGATCGGGTACGAGGGGCTACTCGCTCCATAATGGAGTAACACCGTGATTTCGAAATGAAATAGATTTCGGGTGTTTTCAACGGTGATGTCAATGATTTCAGATAAAATGATAAATGTCACGGGAGGTGATTTCATGATTTCGAATGATTTCATTAATTCGAAATCAGCGATTTTAGAAAAATTAAAGTTAATAAATAATAAAGGTGGGGCAAAACTGGTTGTCTCAAATTATGAAAATCAAAACTGGCAAATAATAACGAATTCATTTGATTCCACTCCGCTATCTTGAGCGAATGACGATGAAAAGCGGTCATTTCATGTTATTGTGGCAGTGAGTACGGCATTTTATTATCATCATTGGCAGACATGTCAATTTCAAAATCACGAATTACTTGCACGGTTCGTACTATGCCAGTGCGTCATTGATTTCGGTGATTTCATTGATTTCAGACGATTTCACGTGATTTTGGAGATGATTTCGAAAATGATTTCAGAGAGCTGAAATCGCTTGACTTCAGTAATTTCGCATCATTTCATACCAGAGTGTCGCCGTGATTTCGGCAGTGAGTAGCCCCTCGATCAGGTACGAAATTTTTCGCAATTTTTTAGGTACCCCATCATATATCAAAAGTTGCTCGATAGTTATTTTCATGAACCGAAGACTTTCAAATTTCACCAGAATCTAATAAAATTCCCGAGCGAATTCGCAAGGTTTCCTATTCAATTTTTTCATACGTGAATCCATTTTGTAAATATTCTCACTCCACAATTCTATGAAATAAACAAAATTGAATCAAAACAGAACCTCGACGAAGCGTAAATGAATGAATAATATGAAATTAATTGCCTTTATCTTCGGATACGTTTTCCTCAATAAGGTACTATGTACTCCAGGTATACTTCCATGTAATCGTCGTTCACACTCATAACGAAATCGAAACTCTTTACTAGCCGGTTGTTCCAGTATCTCAATGTACGGTTTTTTGTTCATATACATCTTTCAAACTGAAAAATCTTCCTGAACTTGTTGACACAATTTCACTGTGAGACTGATATTTCTCAAATTGATAGAAGCCACACAACTTGTAGACACGATTTCACTGTAACATCTCTTCCGGCAACAAATTCACAACTGACCGGTGCAAAAATATTTTCACCTTCAATACTTGGGAAATTCTGATTGGGAAGTTGAGCCGGCGGGCCTACCCTTGCAGGACAGAGTGGGGGTAGTGGGTCGCAGGGGATTTAAAAGGATTCCTCATTAGGAGTGGGTAAGGGCCAGCTTGAGTTGTCATCGAATGTAACGAAACTAAGGTGTGTACCTGCTTCATCATCCCTCAGTACTGAACACCTGCAATGTCGTTTACTGTTCCCCTCCCCTTCAGATCCTCTCCATGCACCTTCCTTTCTTCGTAGAAATAAAATCTGAACACCTTTGGGCAAAATTGGATACCTGAGGTTTTATAGCACATTTCTTCGTAGCATATTGAAGTCGTATGGATAAAGTCCAGTTGAGTCTTTGAGTGTAACGAAGAAAAATAAATTCAAAAAGCGAAAATAGTATCTCTCTGTATTATAAAAATCCAAATAGACTTCTGGTGATAAAAATTTGGTACTCGAAATTAAGACGCCATAATTAAGGGTCACAAGGGTCAAAATAATGGTCACGAGGGTCAGAATAAGGGTCACGAGGTTTAGAATCAGGGTCATGAGGGTCAGATTAAGGGTCACGAGGGTCATAATAAGGGTTACGAGTGTCTGAATAAGGGTCACGATGGTCAGATTAAAGCTCACCAGGGGCACAAGGGTCAGAATAAGGATTGTGGGGGTCATATGTGAACATGGGGGTCGGCGAGCGGAGCGAGGAGGCGCAGCCCCCTATAGTATTATGAGTATTATGAGATGTAAAGTGTCTGAGAAGAAGTGCCTGTAATCAGACTCGTCAGCAAGTACATTTTTTCATATGTATGGTCCGATATTTTTCATCACATTGTCTGTAAAACGTCGTTTACGGCCATTGTGAAGAAAAATTATGTTCATCACTCATCCGAAAACAACTTCTCTGACTCGTGTGATTGCATTCCTCGGCTTCGCCTCGGTCTAGACCCCTCATACTCGCCTGAAAAGTTTTATTTCGGCCTTGTGACGAAAGTAGTTATTTTTCGATTTGTTGCGGTGGAGTTTTTTACTCGTGTGGCGTTAGCGTCCGAGCCGAAGGCGAGTGATTTTCAAGTTTCCGAGTTTGGGAAGTATGCAATACCAATTCCCAGTCGAGAAATCGTGAGAAGCAGCGCAGAGAAGTTTTTTTCGCCTTTGTGACGAAATAGTATATTTCGTCATTAGGCCGAAAAAAACTTTTTGTCATTCCGGCCGTGAGGCAGCGCTTCACGGACGCTCCGCTCCGCTCCGCGTCCGTGAATCTCTGCCTACGGCCGTCATAACAAAAAATACTGTTCGTCATATGGCCAAAAAAAACTTTATGACGGCCTATGATTGCAGCCCTCACAATCGCCAGAAAAGTTTCTTTCGGCCTAGTGACGAAATATACTATTTTGTCATGACGGCCGTAGGCAGAGATTCACGGACGCGGATTCCTTGCCTCACGGCAGGAATGACGAAAATAGCTATTTCTATTTTTAAACGTTACGTTACGGAAATCGTCGTTTGGCGCGAAGGGAACGAACGCGTGAACGAACCAGCCTGCTCACTTCTTGGAGCCGAAGATATAGTGGGGCTGAAGGGGAAGAATATTCCTCCTCCAAGAGTTTACTTGGACGAAGAAAGACGGGTTACAGGTATCCAGTATTAAGCGGTTGCCAAGCAGGTCAACTTAGTTTCATTATTTTCGATTATTACTTATTGGTCGGCTGGAGAAGCGAACTAATCCGCTTTTACAAACAATAAGAAATCCTTTTTCATCTCCTACGGCACTGATCCAGAGAATGCACTCTGTCTCACTAGTATAAATGAGGGTGAAAAATATTTTTACATTGGTCGGTCGTGAATTGGTAGTAGAAAGAGGTGATACAGTGATAAGGAAATTGTGTGACACTCAGTTCTGGGGAACTTATTAGTTTCACGATTATTTGATTATTTATTTCAAAATTAATATGACTTTAGAGTGAATACCAGTCATCACTTCTTGAGATACATTTGATTGGGAGAAATAGAACGTCTCTAGAATTCAAGTTAATTTTGTCGTAATAATGAAAATATTTGATTTCTTCCTAAAGCAAAATTTGACTGTAATAATTCTTTGGTTTATTCAACAACGAAAATTATTCTTGAGTAAATACGTTATTGTATCAATTAACCGCACTGAGTTCCAAGTAAATTTTTTTTTTAATCGTGATTGAACTGAGCATTTCGTATATCGAATCAGAATAAATATTCTTAAGCGAAAAAAACTTTGATATTGTATATTGAAGAAGTTTGTATTTCTTCATCAGAAAGAAATCCCATTAATTTACAATAACGAGATCATAGATTAAGGCAATTCTACAAGAATTTGGATATCATAACATGGAATTGGATTCTTCACTCAATTCTTCTTTCATGAAAAATTCAATGAAGTTCTCTAGTTCCTAATTATTAATTTACTATAATGATTAATTCCACAGGCCAACGTACGACGAATATTCCTCTCTTCAGACGGTTCCTTGATAATTAGAATCAGAACCAAAGCCTTAAATTCCAAATTTTACAATTCAAACTTGTGAATTTTTAATGTTCCAGTGCAATTGCAATTAGGTAGGCTTTGGGTATGTTTTTTTGTTTATTACATTGAACCAAAAAGAGCGGAGAAATATCATGATTGAATTATTTTTATTACTATTCACTTTTTACATGTATAGACAGAAAAAAATGATTTATTGAAAGATTGAAAATTTCCCTCTAAACGCACCTCTTCCTTTTCTCCTTTAGAAAAATTCAAATCTGACAATTGAGTCATATCTTCAATTAATCCTACTGTAAATCAACAAATTAAACTAATACCGCAAATATTCGTACATAAGCGGATGGACGAAATTAAATTCGATGGACGAACGTAACTTCCCCCTCTTTTAACAAATGAAACTATATTGAAAAATGTGAGCGATTTTACAGGTGTGATTTGCGGAAACAAAAACATTATTCAATAACTTCTATAGAAAAACTTGCTAGTGAACTTGATTAATTAAATTGTACATCTTTGCTTCGATCAATTAAATATTAAATAATAATGATAATGCGGCAGTAGACGATCATGACAGCGCTAGTAATTCAGAGTTAATAGTAATTATAATGTTAATATGTACTTGTTTGTATTATCGATTGCATTGCGATGGTTGCATTGTGACCAAAGCTAAAAAAACTATTATTCCATAATCTGCGTGCTTCCGAAAATCAATCACATCTGTACAATTTTCAGTTAATACATAAAGAAAAATGAATTTTGAAGAACAAAAAAAACAAAATTTATAAACTAAAGAAAAACAGATTTACAATGAATCGCATAACATTTCTCACATTCCGGCTTTACTCCACTTGTATCTAACTATATTTTACTAATTATTTATTTCCTCGCTTTTGTGTGAAAAAAACACCAGCAGGAAAATTCATCGATTCCGTGAATTCAAACAGTTTAGCACATTTTTCATCCAGCAATGAAGTGGTGAAACGAGACACGTCAACTCCTAATTAAAATGAGTTTCAATTTTCCCAGAATTTGATTGAAAAATCGCCTTGAAGATGAGCCAAATTCACTTCTTGGATTCCTTTTATTCTTAAAATTACTCCAACTCTCTCACATTTGAAGATACCACTATGAAACTGATCATGAAAACAAGTTGACTCATCTCATTTTACCCCTTCTCCACTTGATTGCCCCTTAAATTCAATGGAAACGAGAGAAATAATTTTCTTTAGATTAATCTACACTCAATAAAATTCAGAGTATCAGTCTCGAAAGCGTGATTCGCGATCAGATTTAATCTAGTAATAAAGATAAAAGAATCATCCAGTGAACCAAGAGGACTCAACTGCGACCCCACAGTGGGTCCTGCATAGTTTGTTCAATTATTATTGGTCTAGTTTATATTTGTCCAATGACACCCTTCGTCCAAATTTCACTCATCAAATGAAAGTTTCTGTGCAAATTTTTTATGCAATAGAATTGAAAATTGGATTACGTGCGGTTTTTCTCATCTATTTACTTATTTCTCAATGAAACAGTGAAACATTCGGCTCTTTCTGAATGTAAATAGTACAGATTAACGAGTTTGAAGTGTTTTTCTCTCACTTTTCTTTCCAATAAGATTACTTTAATTTTTTTTAATCTCATTATCTATAATTTCATGTTGTGGGCAAAACTTTACAGTGATGCATCTTTGTAACGCGGAAATTAATCTATTTCCGTTGTGTTTATTTTCTTATGTGCATATTTGTTTGTCTAAGGGGGAGGGGGAGGTCTCATAGCTTTTTTCAATTTTTATTCAATTTCTTCTTAAAAAACATCATGAAATTTTATTTTTGCCATAACATTCATTTTTTATTTAACAACAGGAATTGCGTAATTTCAAGTTCCATACGATTGATTTTGCAAAAAGTCATATGGAATAGAAAAAAAATACGTTGAAAAATACTGAAAACTGTATTACATTGTTAATATGGTTTTTACGTATTGAAAAAATCTAAAAATGCTTATTTTCGATGAGAAATTTGAAAAAATACCATCCGAAACATTATATTCAGAATTGTCCGACTCCATAAGTCTCTGGAAAATGGAATAGATCGATATAGAAAGAGAAGAGAGAGGCAGGGGACAGATTTTGAATCCCTCATTCATGTTATAATTGACTTTTGTGAGGAAAATATGCATCCGAAATTATGTTTTTCTTTTCTTCTCAAAAATCGTCATTTTCTTTTTTTTCGACTCGTGAAAACCTCACTAGTCCTACAATTTTCAAAATTTTTCAACTAAATTTTTTTTGTGCATTCCATATGATACAAAATTCCGCAAAATCAATCGTATAAAATTTGAAATCACTCAATTCCTTTTGTTAATTAAAAAAATTACGCTTCGAAAAAAGAAAATTTTATGACATTTTATCCCTGTACTTTTTGTTTTAATACAGAAAAAATTTGAAAAAAATCGCCGAAAAAAATATGTACCCCCCCCCACCTCCAGCCCCTTAACAGTCAGATATTCAATATCCGATATTGTAAATAGTAAAAATTCGACTAATTGAACCAACGACGTTCAGTACTTTGGACAGAGTATTTTTCAGACGAATTGTGTTACCAGACAAATATTTTTTGAACCAAAATAATCAGGTGGTCTTACCGTGCACCGTCAATGTTAATTTTACTATGCACATACTAACGAGTGCCTGATTATCTGGGCAATATCGACTCAACAATTGGGGCAATATCATTCAATGATTGTATATACTCGATAATATATACTCGTTTTATTGGCACTGGTCTACTCGATGGGCATTGGAATTGATGCCGATGCTTTATTGTACTGTATCTCTCAGTCCCTCTTTCAATTGAAATGAAGACCTGAATCAATCAGCAAATTTACAAAGCGCTAAGACTCTTTCTCATCCAAACAAAAATTATTAATGCCTCAAATCATGTGTGATATTTTCAAGCAGAGCCTCATGCAAAATTTCATGATTAGTATCAACTATTTTACAAAATGTATGTCTAAGTCATTTTTTTTCTTTGAAGGTGTGAATGTGAGTACATATTGCTTTCAATTATCACATTTCTGAATCCATCTTAATTTTAGAATTTTCTCAACAAACAAAAAGTAAAAAAAAAAGTCCTTCATAAATTCCATCACAAATTCCATCACTTTCGAATCCGCACACTCTCAGTCGTATAATCCTAGTAATTTCTGAGCACTGGCAGTCTTACCACGTTGATTATTTTCTTTTTGTTTATTAATTATTCTTATGTCGTTTTATTATTCTTTGCCATATTGTGTGAAGCCCAGTTTAACGAGGTCTTCCAGGAATTGCACAGGGCCTCGTCGAACTTATTCCTAAAATGCTTCTGGGCCTCAGTCTCAGACATTTCAAGCACCTGAAGCATTAGAAATTGACACAAAATTATTTCTATCAACTCTTCCAGTTTTAAATGAAAAATTTTATGAACTACAAAAAAATCATTTGCCAATATTTTCAAATGTAACAACTTTTTTTTATAGTAAATTTCAAAATTGATATTTCCAAAATAATCTGTTAACCGAATGATCTACACTGAATTCAACAGAATTTAAAAAAAATCTTCAAAATTATTTCGAAAAGCAGCTGTGGAGAACAAAAGGTTTGAGGGAGTTATCAGATTTTTTCTCGTGGGTTTTTCCACAAGGAACCTCTTATAACTATTTTCTCAGTGGAAACCAATTTGCAACTGGTTTGTCTTTAGACGATTATTTTATCCCAAGACACTAAAAAAACTTTTCATCTATCTGTCTACCTACACTGAGAGAAAAACGACAAATCTAAGGGAGATAGCAAAATTTTTATTCAGAACTTTCTTATAGCACTCAATTTGCTGTAGAAAAAAGGTTATTACGATAATTGCGTTACCTCCTTTCGATTCGGAGATATTTTTCCAAAACTCAACTAAGAGATAAGTCGACTCAAACCGTTTTACCACTTCGCTACTGAATTCTGTTTTGGCAATTTTCACCTTGCGATTTTGTTGGCCCAAGGAAGAGTTGTTTGACAATGTGTTTGTTTTTCTCTCAGTGTAATAAAATAGATCAACACGTCTCCTCCCCCCCAGAACACAAAACCAAAACCTAAAACAATGCAACAAACTCACCAAAGTATCACGCAAATAATTGAGATCCTTCTCAGACGACAGTTCCGGAAGTCCGGTCGATATCATCATAGCAAAAAGCGAAAGAATCAACCCGCCATGCCTCCTCAGAATCAAGAACGCCTTCTCACAATAATTCTGGAATATCTGAAACTCCACGGCCTGTCCCTTCTTCGTCTGTCCCTTATTAATGACATGAACAAAGTCATTAGTCAACACAAAGGGCACACGTTCACGCCTGAACCCAAATTTCTCCTTAAAATGCCCAAGAATATGTCCAAAGTCAACATGGAACAGTTGTCCAGTCTTCTTCACCATGATATTATCCGAGTGTCTATCAGCAATCCCAAGGACATAGGTAGCCACGCAGTACCCAGCACAGCTCAAGGTGAACTCCTCAATGGCTTTGTTGAGTGCTGCCTCAGTGTGATTATGATCCTTCAGCCAAGCGAGAAGAGATCCTCGCCTGAAGGCAGCAGTTGCTGAGAACATTCCCTTCTCCTTCTGAATATTGGCTATTGTCTCAGCATTGAGAACCACCTGAATCATCCCCACTCTGTTCTCAGTGGAGATGCATCGATAAGGATTCATCCTGAAATCCAGGCCCTCTCGTTTCCAGAGTTTGTCCATTATCCTGAGCATCTGAAGGGTCAGCATGTCTTGCCTCAAGTCATCTCCATGCTTCATTATGAGATAAATATCCTCACCGAAAGGGTCATCGTTCTCGAAGACCAGCCACAGTGGTCTCATCTTGCTGTCCATCACCCTGCACTTTTCAATCTTCACTCTCTTCCATCTGAAGCTTGGATCCAAGGGGTTCAACACGTTGGAGAGAGCCTCCTGGCAGTGAGGCTCTTGGATGTAGTCCTGGAATCCCTGGAGTGCTGCTTTCCTGTCCTTCTTCACCTTCACCTGCTCAGAGGCTGTTCTCAATTTGTCCAGACACTCCATCTGCTTGAAGAGGATCCTCATGTGCTGCTGACTACCCCTGCAGTAAGCCTCTAGGATTAAGCCGAATCTCACTGAGACTGAGGCCACCTGCATCTCTGATCGCAGATGCCAGAAGAGAAAGTGCCCTATTCGCTGGTTGTTCAGGGCTCTTCGGAGCAGGAATTCCGTCAAGTCGCAGGAGAGGTAGTTCTCGTGCTTCAGGGCTTGGACCAGCTGAAGGAGGAAGAGACTCAAGTCGTCGTCGGTGACGTCTTTCAGGCAACGAACTGCGAAGGAACGGACTGTCCCGTCTGCGTAGGCGTAGTCCAGGAGCTCCAGGGCTCGCTCCACTGGGAGCTTTGGCCATTGGTGGACGAGGGCTGTTGCCTCTGCCACTTCTCTGTCATTGAAAGAATTGGGAATGATAAATAGGGAATTCTATTTTAATATCAGTTTTTGGAGAATATCTTCGAAGGGAAGAGGCATAATTACATTTTTGTGAGGAATTATTTTAAAGCTCTCAATTTTCTCTGAAAAAAGTTCTCTTTCATGAATACATTCTGAGATATTTATTCTTGGAAAAGCACTTCTAAGGCGAGCTGGCTATATTTTTGTAGACTATTTGCACAGCAGGGATGGCCATCAATCTTCCGATTCTTCAATGTTAAAAGAATTTCCGCTTTACATTGATGAAGATTTAAATATCCTAATCGAAATTGTAAAATAGCAAAATAATTGATAATCTAAATTTCCAATTGATGACGAATCCAATATTTAATAACATGGATCTGTAAATTTTCCATTCAGTAAATAAAACTAAATTTGTTACGAGGGATTCCCGATTATCCAAATAATCGTCAATATTCCTAACGAAATTACTCATTAATAAATCATTCGGAATTTGAATATTTAAATTGATGGTTACTTCAATAATTAAAATTTAAGAGTGATATTAGCTAATTGACTACTTAATAATTTAACGGTAATTACCGATTTATGGATATGGCTATCCCTGTTGTAGAGATTTATTTTCTCTACAAAGGATATTCCATCAAGAAATTCGTCCCTTTTTGTTTCTCAGATTTGGAAATACTTATCGAAGAAAAATCAGCTTTCAACCCCCAGAGGCATGACGAATTTGAATTGGATAACACTCTTCATTTTAAGAATATTTTCTTTGGCAATTAATGAACTCATCTATTTAGTTCAACGGCAAATTTCAGTGATAATCTATGAATAATTAGTCCATTCTAAATGGCATTACTAAATTCAAATGAGACAGTGGAGTTTTTACATTTTTCTGAGTGCATTCATCACAGAAAAATTGTCTCACACTAACCATCTCTCTCAAATGATTCCATAATGTATCATTTTACAACAATTATATTTCAACAATGAAAATAGTCATCTCCATCTCCCACAGATAGAAAATTTCTCAAAATAAATTTATCTGTTCTTATTTGCAGTCGTTATTGCTCACCATTTTGTTCCTGGTTTACTCACCTGTGGTCATTCCACTCGACACAGTGTAATAGTTTGGCCAATAATGTGGGAATCTCGTGGAGACAATGACGCCTAAGAGCCCACATAGTCTTACGTTCCTGCTCGTGGAGTTCGTGAAGGGGATCCCTGTCTGCCAGATTTTTCAGCAGCTCCACTTGTTGCAGTTTGTTGGCCTCCGACTCTTGGTTGGGCTCCTCCGCTATGCTACGTTCCTCTGAAGACTCCCGGAGCTTCGCTGCATACTCCACGACTTTCTCCGGGGTTGGATAGAGCACAGACTTGTCTTTTCCGTAACTAAAAAAGATTGAACGATAGAAGCAAGACATTAAACAATTTCTCAACTGCAATTGGAGGAATAATCAGTGAAATCGTCTTGTTGATCATTAAATTATCTCGATGATGAGGAGATTTAGGCAGAAATGCGAACAGTTTATTTTGGTAGAAAATTTCCTCAGTTATAAAAAATATCATGTGCCATTTTTCCCCATCTCCCTCACTAAACTGAATTTTACTTTGTAATATGAGCAGATCCACGCCAAAAAAACCATGCTGCGGATTTTGTCTCAAATTTTTGTCAGGCAAGATGGCGATTAGACAGAAATTTTGAAAAAAGAAAAATTGAACAATATTGATAACTGAGGGAGTTATGATTTTTTGAAAATGACTTGTTTTTCCTTAAAATTCGATATTTACAATTTAAAATTTGATATTTACTTCGGAAATGTCAGCATGAGAGCAGCAGCACGATCAATATGAGGATTGGAAACGACAGTGCCCAAGGGATGTAGTAGATCGTCATTCTGCATGTCCTCCACATAAGTCCATGTATAGAGTGTCATTGCGCCAGTCTTGAGCTGTGACTTGAAGTCGTAAATTGTGGTATTTGCCCAGCACAGTGGGTTTATAAAATACTCTTGTTTGGCGTCTTGTTTCACTCTTCGACTCTTGAGGCCCTTGGCAGTCTTACTTAATTCGTAAAGTACAAAACATAAACGTGCATTACGTGGTATGTCTCTAACTTTAATGTCGAAACTGAGAGTTTCCTCCCAGTTACAACTGCCGTCTGAATTGACGACTATTTCTTTGGTTTTCTGACTCTCGCACAGGGATTTACCACCTTGGAACAGACCGGCTTGCAATCCAACCTGAAAAACATTTTACGATTTAAATCGATCAATAAAGAAATTATCCCCTAGTACTAAATTGATAAAACGTTATTTTAGAATTATTTCGTTAATTATTAGTTTTGACAAAAATTGTCAAATGTATTTTCTCTCAAAACAAAATTCCCATTTCTGCAAATAAAAATTTAATTCAAAAGAAAAACCTTGAATTTAAATTGTATCAACATAATTATATAATTAATTATTAAATAATTGAGAAAAAAATTATAAGATTTCTAGACATTTTCCTGAAGCATTTTTTGCTCTAGAGATGAACATATGCATTGAAAAATAAAAACTTCACGTTCAATTTTAATTACATCTACCTAATTATTGAGTTCTCTCACACCCAGAAAAAAAGCTTCATTTGAATCAGCTAAATGAGTTTATTCGAATTGCTAATAAGAAAGCTATTGATAAATCTTGAGCTATTTGATGAAACTTGATTCTCCTTTTAGTTTTTATTAATCCTAATTAATAAAGACTAAACGAATCAAAGTAATTAAAGTTCTGATGGAAAAAAATTCGAGATATGACGCAAACTGCATGAATCTACGGAGACATAATTTTTAGTCTTGAGAAACCTTTAAAAATTCTCTCGAGACAAGAGAATATTTTCTTATACACTGAGAAAGAAAATTAGTTTTAAACTTAAACTTAAATTAAACTTAAATTAAACTTAAATTAGTTTAAAACTTAAACAGGCAAGCCTGTTTAAGTTTCAATTATGACAATCATGTTGCTCTAGAGATGACGTTGGATGACCTCCTCTTTAAATTACGATTAATTTTTTAGTGTTGATAATTATCGAGAGTTCACTCAAGGTCATAACTACCATAATCATCGTCCAGAGCCATATAATTGTCATAATTGAAACCTAATGAGAATTTCCTGGGAATGACTCGACTGGATAAATACGGCATTGAAAAAATAAACACTTCTCTCAAGTAAATGGATATTTGGCAAAAATAATTTTTTTCTCAGTGTATCGAGCAAACCTCCTTTGACAAAAGTAGTTTTCAAACTTCATAACTGTTTCGTTCAATTTACCTCAACAACACGATGTGCAGCATCACAATTGAGTTTCGATATTCCATTGACATCGAACACGAAAGAATCGTCGATTTTCCAAGCGGAAATGTGTTTTCCCTTTTTTCTCAAGGTCAAAGTAGAGAATGTGGGTCTCGGTCGTTTCAAACTATCCAAATCGGGATTCTCAAAGAGATTGTCATGATGGACAACTACACTCTCCATGCCCATCGTCACTAGTGTTGGTGTGACATCGCGAGCAAGACAGTCTTGGATGTAGCTGAATTGTATCAGTGGATAATCACCGATTAAATACTCTTCTTGGCCGCAGACTTTTAGGATGAAGTCACTGGCTACTTCTCTCTCCCCACGAGATATCTGTCTGCTTGCTCGTTTGTTCAGGATCAGGACGATCAGTTGATACGGAGTTGTGTCGTGGGATATTTGAAAGGTAAATGTCACCTGCAAAATAATAAATAATCATTTAATTAGTTTCGATTGATTCAGTACATCATCAAATTTTGTTTCTGCTGGGACATAAAACCGTAAAACGATTCATTTGTAAAGAAATTTTCTGAGAAAATCCCGTTTCTTTATTCAAAAGAGCATTATTCACTGAAAATTTTCAGCAGAATAATGGAAATTGATGCAAGGAAATATTACATGTAGCCAATATCTTTAAACTTGTCGACTTAGGCCCGGGTACATTCCGCCCAGTTGGGGAAATACTCAGTTAAGTATCGGAATAAATAAAAATAATCTACCGGTCAATTTTGCTCAAAAGTTCACCGAAGGTATTACACCAAAAAAACGTGGGGTATCGATGTATCATTAGTATTTACCAATAATACCACTAATTATGAAGTACTCAGTCGACATTCACGACCTCATGGCTGAATGAAAGCATTCTACAACGAATTCCTAAAATTGTCAATGGGGAATAAATTTACATCAAACATAAATTTATTTTGACGATTTATTTGGATAACAGTGCTTGGTCTAACCGGCTCTTAGTGAAAAAAAAAATATGAGGAATCGGTTTTACACTGTTAAAATTTTTTTAAAGTTAACAGCTGCATTTGAATGTTCAATTTTATAAATTTGGTTCGAATTCAAGATTTAATTTTTCGCGGAATGTCTTATTGATATTGAAAATGTAACAAAATCGAGTTTTTCATGTAAGGCGATCATTGATATTTCAGTTACAGTTTAAATTCTCAAATTGATTGTGAAAATTGAAGGATTAGGGGAAGTAGCATTTTGATTTCCAGAATAAATTCTACAAAGATTTATGATCATCTCCAAAACTCGTAACTTTGGATAAAATCAATATCAAAAGCCCTGCTTTTCAGAAAATTATACTTAAATCCCTCCACTCCGATGATACTCACAAAAAAATATGTATGAAATTTAAAAATCACCTCTATCTTACTCTCCAAGATTTATTCAATTCAATCAACTCTAATCAATTACTTCCTTGACTTAATTTCTTCGTCGTTATTGGAATGAAATTCTCTTTAAATACCATGCTGACAAAAAAATCAATTCCTAGAAGTTATTTTTAAATTCTCGGTCGAAATTCTAGAACGATTTTGTGAATACCTCGAAAACTAGTAACTTTGGATAAAAATAACAAAAGACCTATTTTGCAGAAAATCTCAAGGTCTTCGAAGAAGGTCTTTTGACATTTATCCTTCAACCCCTCCACTCCAAAGATATGTGCAAAAAAATATGTACGAAATTTCAAACTCATCTCGATCGTACTCTCCAAGCTTAATTTAATTCACTCAACTCTTTCTTGACTTGATACTCTCTCTTGTTTTATCTCTTCATTGTTATTGCAATGAAATTTTCTTTAAATACCATGCTGAGAAAAAAATCTATTCCTAGAAGTGATTTTTAAATTCACTAACACGATGATTCATCAATATTCCTCGATTTCAAAGTCATCGGGCCGCCGACTAAATATCTATTTTACCGACTGGAAAACGTAAACATTCCAGCTCCATTTGAATTCCGAATGAAAGCGTCTACTCCGATTCGAACGACCGTTAGAGCCCCTCACATTTCAATCCATTTCCTCGCGAATTTTGTCGATAAAAGAAGCCTTCAATGGGTGATAATTTGATAAAAGTCATTCCGCTTCCCTTCGATAATAAATAACCACAGTTTCCATTCATTTTGAAGTTGAAAATAAAGTTTGAAGGGAATATAACCCCAAAATATGTCTAACTCAGCTAACGAGAGCATCGAGGATTTGTCCAAACTGGAGGCAGACTTGGGGACTGATTTCGATGCTTGGAAGTCTCACATGTCGAAATTGATAAAAGCTAACGAGAAGTATCGACAAGACAAGTATTCACTCCAGTGTAAACTAGAGGTGAGCTCCACGATGCAACAGGAGATGCGGGAGATTCAGGAGGTCCTTGAGAATACAGTCGATGAACTCAAGAAAATGAATGATAAGAAGATTCAGGAACTCGAGGAGAAGTAAGTAATAATCGAAAAAGGCTTCGATTTTCCTTAATTCCTTCAATCACGAAGAAAAACAATTCCTGAATCGAAAGCGACACTTGAGAAAAGAATATTTTCTCCTCAACATCTAAATATTTAGCCCTATAAAATGGCGTATTCTAACACCGACACTGAATTTGTTCGACAAAATGACCTGTGATGTCCAATCACAGTCTCTTCATTTTTCAAAACATTTCAATTTTTGGAGTAAGGTCTTGTCTACGAGAATTGTCCTCACGTTCTAATCCTATAGAATGGCGTATTCTAACACAGACACTAAATTTTGACTACAAAATGACCTGCGACGTCCAATGGAGTCCCTTCGTTTTTTCAAAACATTTCAATTTTTGGAGTAAGTTCAACAATGTCAATTATTCATTTGTAAACAACGAATGTTTAAAAAAATAATTCTGTTCAAAATGTCATTTGAATGACGCTGAATATTCATGATTTTTTTCAAATTTTTCTTACGCAATTTAATTTAATTTTCCAAAGTTTTGAACAGATTTCCGGCCGAAAGTTATCGATATTTTTACAAATTGAAGCACAATCTGCATCTCAACTACACCATCAAAAATAGAACGGAAAACTTATGTTCATATCTAAATACTTGGCTGAAGGCCTTCGGGCGATGGCCTATTATAAGAAAATTATTTTTTTCTATATTTTTCTTGTGATAAATTTCGTTAAAAATTTAAAAAATGCGGCACGTTAATCTCCAGGAGGCAATAATGAAGATAAACGTGCTTTGGGTTCGAAAAATATTAATAACTTTGAACAGGAAATTTGTTGGAAAATTTTGAGAAAACGGTCTTAATTAAACGTTCTCAACTGACGATTTAGTTAACTGAAGCTGGTGCAACCGCGCCTCTGGAACCCAAACTATTTTATTCCTGAATTTGAAATATTCTTTCTTCTATTTCAACTCGCAAAGAAGTTTATTCACAATTGAAGAATTATTCCCTCCTAAATACGCATTTATTCCTACTTATTCATGTTTCCGCCAGACATATGGAAGCAAAGAAGGAATTGTTCTCTCGTCTCTCAGAGATGGAGGCAGAAAATCTATCAAAATCCGAAGAGATTGAGAAACTGCAGACGAAACTGCAGGAGCTCAACAGGAAATTGCAGTTAACAACGAATGAAACCCCAATAGTAGTCCAAGAAGACTCTGCCCTGAAGGAGGAATTCTCAGAGCTAGTTTCTCAGCTATTGCAGAGGGATCATGATATCCAACAGTTGGAGAATTCCCTCCAGGAAGTCAACAATGAGAATTCAGAGTTGAAGGAAATCTTGAGAGGAACAAAACAAGAGTTATCTGAGAAAAATGAGCAGTTGGAGAATACTCGGGACGAGCTCATAGGGTTGAAGATGGAGCTAGCTGAAGTCAAGGAGAAACCAGCAAGTGAATCATCCAAAGGTAATTCATCAAATCGAAATAAAATAATTCCAGGACAAAACGCATTTGCAAGTTTTTTGTAAAGACATTTTTTTGGTGAATTTCTTGGACTCAACAGATATCTCTTGACATTTTCTTGAAGGATCTTTAAGGGAGATTTGCTAAATCATCTGGACGAAATTAATTTTTCTAATTTGTTGATCAATTTTTATAATTCTTCCTATTAATTTTGAAAATGTCTCTGGAACTCACAGTTTTAGTCAAAAGTATTGGAGGAACTAAACATTCATACCAAATTTATTTTTTAATTTGTCAATCAATTTTTCAAATTTGGAAAATTTTCGTCTAAATGTCCGCGCGAAAGGCTTTTTTTTATAGAGAATTTGATGGATTATAAAATAAGACTCTTCAAATTTTGTTGTAAATCCAGAATTCTCCAGGATATAGTCTAAATCATCAGTCCATAATCCATTCTCTAAATTTCTCAATCAATCATTTGAATCTTCAGTCTCAGAGATAATTGATTGATAAATTGAGAGAATGTTTTCCGCAAAATACTAAAACCAGTTTTAAAAAATCCCCTAATCCTCGTTCTTACTCCTCCCCCAGGTAATTCTCTCTTCGCTGAAGTGGAAGATCGTCGCAAGAAAATGCTGGACCAGATGTTGACAATAAGAAAAGGTTACAACGAGGCAAAGCGCGTCGTCAGCATCAAAGATGCAGAGATTCGCTCCTTGAAGGCTGAGAAATCTGCCCTGATTCGTAAATGGGAGGATGACAAAGTAGACTCTCACTATCGAGACACCAAGCTAATGGACAAGTACAAGGAGAGGATTTCAGAATTGGAACAGAAGTTGCAGAATCAAAAAGACAAGACCAACGAGTTAGAGAACCAGATGAGACCCACAGATCACAACTTCAGCTTCTTCCAATCGATGCTGGACACGAAGAATAAGGAAATCGAGGAGCTGGAGTCAAAACTGGAGAACGTTTCCATTCAGGCAGTTCTCGAGGAGGAGATGAAGCACAAACTGAGTCGACAGTTGAGATACTGGCGTTGCAAGGCGATGTCCAGTGATGCGCAGCTGGTGGCCATCAAGAGTCATCTGGAGGCTGATCCGCAGTCCACCAAGACCGAGGTGATGCAGATTCTCCAGCAGACGGTTGACAAGCAATCAGACCTGGAGGAGACCCTCGACTCGACCAAACCACCCCCAGAAGTCATTGAGGAAAGCCTAATAACACTCGAGCAACTCATGAAAGTACCAAACTCTTCGGGAAAAGTGCAATCATCCCACGATAATTCCATGTTCAACAGCTCCAATGAAGACTTTGGAGACTCGGAAAATTTTGATGGTTCTACTGTAAAGAGAGAGTCAATGATTCCAAATGGGAGGGACAGAGGGGTCAGCTTTAACGAAACTGTTCCAATGATTTTGATCCACGAGACTGGAGAAAAATCTGGGGGAAATATTAAAAGGGAAATGGAAGAGTTGGAAGTTTCTGGAGAAACTGAAAATAGAGTTCCTGAGAAAGAAACTAATGAATCGAATAAGGAGAACAAGGCTGGTGGAAGTGAGAATAAAAATCCTTCTAAACTGAAGTCTGCATTTGCTCAGGGTCATTCGAGTCTTTTGGTTCCTACGAATGAGGTCAAGAAGGAGAAGAAGACACTGAAGTTTACTGATGACACTGTAGACCCACCCCCAAGGACCCTGAAAAGACAAGTCACTCCGAAGTATCCGATAGTTTTTGTGTCGAATAAACCCAAGAAGGCTTGAACGGGTTGTCTTTTCTTGAAGTATTATGAAAGATGTTCTCTGATGATTATTAAGTGTTCCCTCGTCTTGAAGACGTTAAGTTGTATTGAATTGAATTATTGCCTTGTTAAGGATGATTTTAAGATTTTTGTGAAGTGTTTTATACAATAAATATTCGCATTTTTATCGTAGCAACTCATTGTATTACTGAGATTATGAAAGTTTCGAGGGTTCTATTGTCAAGAGAGAATCAAGGATTCCAAATGGGAGGTACCGAGGGGTCAGGTTCAAGGGAACTGCTCCAAAGATTTTGATCAACGAGACTTGAGAAAAATGTGGGAGAGATGTTAAGGGGTTTCGTGTGTAGATCACCGAAAATGTCCATTTTTCAAGTAACTATTTTATTTATCCGATTGATTGATTTTTTTTCATCATCTACGGGTGTCAAATAATTATTATTGGATGGTATTGTAATTATTGAAATAATATTAAAATGCGTCTCGAGTTGGTAAACCTGTCGAGTGTTTTCTCTCTCTCAGTTCCATGGTCCAACCCATACCTTTCCTATGATACTCACTGACATTCGAATCACGCGCCTGCGCTAGAGGGGGTAATTGCCCCGAATCATTTGTTCACATAACTTTCTTATGAAATCTGAAAAAATCTGGAACTTATACGTGTTCTCAAGAAAGATTTGATTTATCACCCACTAGTTGTTCCTCAATAGTTCATTATTTTTTTGGGTGCCGTGGAAATTTCCCCAATTGAGAGTGGGGTAACCTCGTCGGTTATAGCTGGAGGGGTTACAAAAAAATCTAAATTCCATCATTTTTTTCTTGAAACTGAGATCTGAAGAAAATGTGCAAGAATTCTCAATGATGCAGCATACTTAGAAATTTCTCCCATGAATTTTCCAATTTTTTAAAAATTATTTTGACTTTTCAATCGAAAGACCTTAAAAGGGAAATGGAAGGGTTGGGAGTTTCACTAGCATAAATTGACAAATGACAAATGATAAATTTGAAAGATCTAGGAAAAATCAGAAAAAAATCAAGAGTGATCTAGATTGTATACTCCAAGAAGTCCCGTGAGATTTTCTATGTTCAGTGTTACCCTTAATTATATATTCAAGCTCAAAGTTACCATGTTTTTCTGAAAAGGCGCCTTATACACGGTACACGGCCCGAACTTTCGGAATGAAAATTAGAAAATCCAACTACTTATGATATTTTTGGTGAATATTTCCATTGATAGGGCTTCCCGAGACTTCAAAACAAGATGTCGAATTTTTTCAAATTTTTCAGAGGCTTTACTGCAGTGCGATTTAAAAAATCGGAAAAAGTGCGGCGCGGCGTTCATAGCGCGACCAACGGAGTGTTAAGAATGATAACGTCAGTGAAGTGGTAAATGTAATCGTAAAAAAATGAAACTGTCGATGATAAGTCAATTGAAAAGATAATGCCAAGAACAATTCGTTGAGAATTGCTTTAAAAAACGTCTCTTGACGCAACCAATTGAATTTTCATTTGAATAGAATGACGTTCACTACGGATTTTACGATATTACTGAGGATTGAATTTCATCTTGGAGAACGATGATTGAATTAGTTTTTCCACATGCTGTTGCATGCAGTTTTTTCATAATGAATCATTTCAGAAGATAATTTCGAAGAGTGTTTCTTGTTAGAAATTTCTATAACTGTGGGAAACCTCTCTTGGCATCTTTTTATATACTTCTTCCATAAAAGGTCAATGATGACATTGATTTGGAATTTACATAGGATAGAGTCAAGGGGATTGTGGATGCGTGTTCTCAGAATGTGTTCCGATTTCGTATTGAATTCGTTAAGGGGAGAATACTATGACTTTTAAAAGTCGTGGGGTATTGGAATGCGATTTCTCGTGCATTGAATATCGATTATATATGTCTAAAAACGAATTAGTGCCAAAAAAATAATTGTTTATTGTTCGTTTGCTCCGCAGACGCTTAAAATGTTAAAAATAGTCCAGAGCCTCCAATTTGTGAGCTACAGAGTTTTTTTTTCAAAATTTCTTAAAAAACGTGGGCAATAACAATTATAAATTTTTTTTTGAATTCGACTCCTGCACAGCTCATTTCGTTTTGTTTAATATAAAAATTTACGCCATTCATGGAAAATGTACAGAAAAATTATCCTTAAAATATTTAAAATATATTCTCGATTCTTTCAGAAATATTTTTCCCACTATTTTACATGAATGGTGCAATGTTTTATTAAAATAATAAGAAATTAGCTGTGTAGGACCTGAATTAAAAAAAAAAATCGTAATTGTTATTGCACATATTTTTCCAAAAATTTTGAAAAAAAAACTGTAGCCCAAAAATTGGAGGCCCTGGACTATTTTTAACATTTTAAACACTTGCGGGGTAAACGAACAATAAACAATTAGTTTTTTGCAATAATTATTCGTTTGTAGACATACATAATCGATCTTCAATCTATGAGAAATCTCATTCCGATAGCCCGCGACTTTTAAAACTCATAGTAGTCTCCCCTTAATAATCAAAGTCATTTTGTATACAAAACTAATATCTTGAAAACGGGATTTTCATAGAATTGGCCTACAGAAATTTCAATCAATGTCATTTTTGTCCTACAAATGAAGATACTTAAAAATAGCCAAATATTTTGACCATTTTCTTTCTCATTGAAATACTTTTCAAATCGAATTCAATGCCACTTTCCTGAAAATTGCTCGTCACCTGCCCATGAAATACCACTTTTTTTCCTACAGTGTGTTCTTGAAATGAAGGAAAATTGAGAAGAATGTCAGATTGAGATCTTTCCTCTGCCGTCATTTTAAAATATTTGCGGATGACCTTCTTGAATGAATGCAACTCACCTCTGTATTCTCAAACTTGGTAACGAGCACAATGTTCCCATCCTTCAGTCTAGATTCGATGTTCTTCGGGATCGCAGGAGTCTGGGCGAGCCTCGAAGGATACTGATAGTGGACTCTCTCCTCCCACTGCTGCTTCTGCCTCGCGAGAGCAATTTCATCCCCCAATAGTCTCATTTTCCACCTGAAGTCATTGACCTCGGAGTTCTTCAGGGCTACAAACTCGTGGAGACCTTTGCCAATCAACAGACCAATCTGAGCATCTAGATTCCTGTCTCCCTTGACTCCCTCACGCTCGATTACTTTGAGAACTGAGCAGAAGGGCTTTATGTCACAGAGACGACGACTCTCGTCTCGTAGTTCTTCAGGCTCTGCATTTGCGTTTATGCAGGAAAATAAATACGATGGGGCATCCCTGAGGGTGCCATGCAGAGGATACTTACTCGCTTCATCCCATAGTTCCTGTAATAATAAATTGAAATTGGGATTTTTGCAAGCACCAATGCTTGGCGATACTCAATTAATTTCAAAGGTGTTTTCTCTCATAAAACCCCTGTGACACTAGAGGTACACACATACTATTTCTAACTCATATTCGCCAGAAAAATTTGTTTCGGCCTAATGACGAAACATACTAGTTCGATACACAGTCGTGAAGAACTTTTCCACCTCATATGATTAAAGAATTCATATCAGCAAGAAAAGTTAGATAGGAAATTTTTGTAGGAGCTTTATAGTGAAAAAGGTGAATACGAAAAAAATAGTCATAATAATTTCACAATAGTCTTTGGATTTCGAGATACATTCCAAGTACAGGCAAAGTGCAATTGACTATTCGATTTTTCCGACGATTTTCTCGGAATCTTTCAGAGATAGGGAAGCGCTTTCCTGAGGACATTTTTTGTAGCACTAGGAATTTTTTACAGAACCATAAAAAATTCCGTCATGACCTTTGAATTTAGAAATGTATTCCAGTAACGAATTCCAGAAGTAAGATTGATTCATCTTCAAGGTTATCGGTAGTTATTTCCACGTTTAATGAAAATTGATGTATCTTCATCAGGACTTTCCTTGTAGAGAGGCTCGAGAGCTATAAAAATTTTTAGGAAAAATTCGCTGCCTCTTTTGCACTAGGAAATATGTTTCAAGAACCTTTGGAGGAAGTGAAAGTGACTTCTGATAAATATTTTATATAAAATAAAAATAGACGTAGGAAAAAGATAGATGGAACGAAATGCATCAACTTCAGCTCTGCAGAGTGCTAATAAACGACTTTTTTTCATTTTCACTTTTTGTTACCCAGCTAGTTTTTTTCAACTTCGTTTTTCTCATAGAAAATGAACATAATGACGAGAATAGAAAGAGAACTGGATACTTGCAGCTTTGAAAAATACTATTCATCCAATAATTCTCGTGTTTATCAGTGGTGAAGGACTAAAAAAAATATTGAAAGAGCGTCTGGGGTGTTCTTTTTTCAAGTTAAAAAATCCGACATGACTTATCCATTTAATCGATAGACATGATTGAATACAGCCCATTTTAGAGCATCTCCCCTGTTTCATCTCTTTATAAAGCAAAGTGACAGCTAAAAAGCAACGATAAAGATCTCCCCAAGAACTTCTTCGAAAAAATCATAAAAAAAAAAAATTTACAATTTCTAAAATAATAAAATAAATGTAAAAACTATTTTTCCACGAAATTTCTATTCTACATCATTATATCCTCATTAATCGATAAAAATACGTATCAACGATGAAAGTCCTCGAAAATAAATCACGCAAACATGTTATGTATAACAAATAATAACGTAACAAGGTGTTTACCTCTTTGATTTCCGCAAGAGTTGTATTCCGATTGGTCTCAAGTGGTATGACAACACCATTTGGCATAAGACACGTCAACTCCACGACTTCAGTGGGTGTCTTAGCCCAAAAATCATAGGTATAAGCACTCGGTATGTGCACCATGATTGACGAATAAAACTTTTCTAAATCACTTGTCAAGGGAGAAAATAAACCGTGATAATTCTATCTGAATCATATGAATGAGTCAGATTTTTCAACATCACTGACAATCGCAACAACACCAGCCCAGTATGTGGTACACACGTCTCGACTCAACTTGTGTACGCTGTCGTCTCTTTACATTGTTTACTGTCACGCTAGTGGGATGAAAAATCATCTTGATCGTATGTAATAATCTAGGGGAAAGGGGGATTCACAATGTCAAAGCGTGGTGTGAAATATTTTCCCACGATTATGAACGCTGAGGTTGATTAATCCTCGAGAGCCAAAATAATCACTGTTGACTTGGTTAAATGCGCAAGAATCTCACAAACCGGTAACAATTATCAACGGACAATGGATTTTTCTTCGTTGTGTGACCGAGGGGCACCTCTTTGAGGAAAAAAATGTTTTCTCTCTCGTTTTTTTTTCCTCCTCCTTTCCCTTTTTTTTCCTCTACGTGACAAAAACAGTGGGGAAAATGCACGTCCCAGACAGAAGACGGAGGTATTTTGTTTTTATCGAGATTTATGCACGAGGAAAAAACAATGATGTACCTGACGCACACGGGTGGAAACGTCACTCGAGATTATGATGCAAATATAATCTTCCCTAACTGCACGCAATAACGACACACGGGTCAGCCATTATTTGTTTCGTTTGGAGACTCTAGGGAGGGTATATATATGTAAGCGAGAGTATGGCTGTTTTTTCAATGAAAAATTTTAGAGTGGGGGTATCTGTGGATATGCGTGGAATAAGGTTGTGACGAACGCCCCGGAGGTTATTTTGGAGGCGCCGTTCTCCGGTGGGAGGACTTCTACTGGCTGTAGGTAATGGGAATTCCCTTTTTTCCGATGTTTTTTTTTAATTTTCAGGCATCAGGGCTGAATTCCTTGCGTTTAGGGCTCCCTAGGAACCATTCAATTTCAACCAATCAGGGCTTCTTCGCCCTGAACCTTAAATTTCAACCAATCACAGTCATGCACTCCAATCGATAATGCAGAGATTCTGGTTGCGTGGCTTTGATTGGTGGAAATATAAGGTTTTTAGGTTTTAAGGTTTTTAGGTTTTAAGGGTACCCTAAACGCGAAGAATTCCAGTCCAGGGCAGAAATTCTTCGCATTTAGGGCACTCTGAAAGCCTATCAGAATCATGCATTCAGAATCCCTGCATTACCGAACGGAATGCATGGCTCTAAGGTTGGGCATGTGAAATACCACCGGTATTTTACCGAGTTTTCTACTTGTGAAAAACAAGTAATTTATCGAGGAGGTTTGAGACGTTTCGACCGCGTGTGTCGCCATCGTGCGTGACTCAGAACAACACAGTTTTCAAAATAATAATTATATAAATGTTGTTTTCATTTTCTCCCACATCCCTTGATATTTGTTGGATATTTAACAACAATGGAGATGAAAAGAGAAATGGGTTTGTGGCAGTCCTTAACTAGGTACCAAAAGTGTAGGGCCGGTGCAAGGGGGATTTCCAGATTTACATGAAAGATCTTCTTCAACCATTCATCCAACTGAATTTTCTTCTTTCCCGTTGGACTCGCCTCGAAATTCATCATCTAAAATTGATATTTTTCGGTAATCTTTCGTAATTTTTAATCTATGAATTTTTTATCAGGTAACATTCAATTACGGAAGTAGAAAAATAATTAGTTCATACGTCAGGGACTTTTCTGTGTACATTTCAATATCCAGAAGATTTGTTCATTGGACGTTACGTTTTCTAGGTCGCTGATTGCAAATATTCTAGCTCCCATGTGAAGGACATGGGGACGGACGAAAGTGGAATTTTACCACACTGCGTTTAGTAAAAAATATCATTCTTCGTCACAGAAAAATTCCTCTACGTATGTGAATGTGTCCGCAATATTGAGCAATCATTCACATTCATGGGATAATTTTTGAGAGCATGAAGTAAATTTTCCAGTTTCGGTATAAATTACCCTCACGTTTAGGAAATTTTCCCAAGTCAGCGGAGAAAAATTCACTATTCGTCTCGCATTTTTTGCTCCGTTACAGGATGAAAAACATTTAGAAATGAATTCGGCTCCACGATTACATGACTTGTTTGGTAATTTTTCTCCAACTTTTTTCTCCGTGCACCGCATATCATCCTCTGTTTGGACATTCATATCTCTTCTTACACTTGAGATGAGGAAATAAAAATGACAGCAATCGATGGGACATTTAATGCACAATGATCTGAAAAAAGAATGTTTTTCCATCACCATGACCGCGTAAGGTGACTTGCGATACATTTCACCGCGTTGTAACAGCCATTCGGCTCCTAGACGCAATGTGGCTCTGAAAATCAGAGTCAATGTAAAAATTGATATCACCACTCTCACTTAATATCGAGGGTCCTCCTCAGCGCGGTCGATCAACTTAGCTCGCCGCGGCCTCCCGAAATATCTCAGGCTCTATACTGAAACACCCGATGAAAATTTAACAGCGGATTTTCTGATAAGCACGCTACGAAATATATTTTTGTGGATTTTTTGCGAGCTGCCTTTTAATTTTTTGTAATAGCTGCCTCAAAAGTTCACTTTTCGAAACCGTTCAGTGTGTGTAAAGTGGTTATTTTACGTACAATGTGCGTAAAGTTCAGAGGTCGTGCGTAAAGTGAATTTCGAGTGCGTAAAGCTTCGCACGACCTTGAACTTTACGCACAGCGTGCACAAAAGCAACCGCTTAACCCCCACTACAGTTCCCAACAGTGAACTCGGCAGGTATTACAAAAAATAGGATGTTACGCGTGCGTGCGAAAAAGTGGTTCTTTACGCACTTGTACCACAATATACTATTTTGTCAACTTTATGTTGTTTATTAACAAATTTATTGTAAATTAAACTTTTTGGCAGAAAAAATTATATGAATCTATTATACTTTAGCAATAAACAAGTACTTTTTCATTTTTTCGATACAACGAATATTTATCGAGTTATGATGTTTCAAAAAATTACTTACCTGATGGACCGTAATGAGTTAGGTGTTGTTCCGGCGGGCATCCGAGTGCAGCTGCGTTTAGCGCGGTTAGTGCTTGGATGGATGACCGCTTATGAACACTCTTGCCCAAAAATTTCGGAGGGTGGGTACGGTGTAGTGGCCTAATGTGCCCCTCTAGTCAGTGTGACAGACTAGAGGGGCACATTAGTAATTTTTACCTAAAATCGTTGGCGTATTTACGTGATTTATCAATTTTTGATCTCTTGACGGATCTCAAATTGTCTCTATCCGCCCATCTATTGGTGTAGTTACCCTAAAGATCCTCTAATTTACCTCCCATGCTTAGAAGTCTTCTACACGGAGAGAAATATTCAATAAAAATTACGTATCTTTTCCGTAATTCCAGAGCGCAATGTGGTTGTTGGAAATTTTACGGAACTGTCCGGTAATTTATTCGAAGATGATTGTTTTGTATCAGGCCGGGTTGTAGCGAGCCCTCTTAAGTGTAATATAAGGGTCAGGCACTAAGTGTCAGAATATACGGGTCAAAAAGTGGAGGTTAAAAATTGAGGGTCAGAATATAAAAGTAAAAAATGGGTATCAGGCAACGCGGGTCTAAATATAAGTTATACAAGATCTATGCGCGCGCTGTCGCGCGCGCTGATCTTTTCATTTGTTGAAATGAAAAAATGGAATTCATTAACTTTCATTTTCTCATGAATACTTTATAAATATTGACAATGAATCAAAAAGAATTCGACTAATGATTGAAGTGAATAGCGAAGTAGAGTAAAAGAATCTATAAAGAATTTTTTATTTTCAATTAATCATCTTCAATTTTTTAACATAATCGGTCTCCATAAAAGGGCAGAATTTATTAATTTCACTGGTGATATATATATACATGTGAAATACATATATTATATATATATATATATATATATATATATATATATGACGTGAAAAAAAACTTACCACTGAAGAATTTGCAATTATGTCACTGAAGAATTTGAAAATGCCAGGTGTTTTTTTTGTGAATAATCTCGTGTCACATATTGACCAATCAGAATTAAGGATTAGCGGTCAGGCAGTTTCGAGATATTTCGATATAAAACAACTTCACGTTTCTTTCATCTTTAGTAAATAGGATGTTATGTATTATATCAGAATATTATGTTGTAATATTCTGATCTTCTCTTTTTAACCCCAGCATTCTGACCCTCATTCCTTCTCCTTTTCATTCAGTCCCTCAGTTTTTAAATCTAATATTCCGACCCTCATGTTTAAACCTCCACTTTTTGACCCTTATATTCTCACCTTTATATTACACTTGAGAGCTCTTGATACAACCCGGGCTGGTACGAAATAATCATTCTCGAATTGAAACACCCATCCCCCATCAAGTACATTATACACTCAATTCAATTATATTTTTTTTCCGTGAGGTAAATGCTTTTTTCATTTTCTGATCAATTTTGATATGATCACGCAATTTGGGGATTCAATAGAAAAAACACTATTGAAATTTCAATTCACGTATATGATTTTTATTCATTCCTACCTACTTATATTTACATAATTTCCTAAGTACGTGTAATGAGATCACAAATTGATTGTATAACACAAGTCTATAAAATTGGGACTAAAGAATAAGCAGTCTTCATCGACTCGTTATCCCCATAATGCATCTCCATAATCCCGTGGCATAAGCCGCGTCGAATTCCCCACAAAATCTGATCTAATGCCCCTCAGAGCGCTGAGCGAATCAGTTCCCATCAACTCTCGATGCATAGAAAATCGAATCAACTGTACACACGACGATAAAATTTGTTCGTCAGTACTTCAAGAATTATTGAAACACAATAAATTCTTCCGTCATTCCATGATAGATAAGTACACTTGTCTCCTCAGTTCACTCAACTCGGATATCAAAAGTTCAAGCATAACCACAGGTATCATCCCCATAATTACCAGTTATCATCCTGAAGAGAGACAATTTTTAATATTTCATTATTCAAGGTCAGTAGATACAGCGACCCCTTGTTTCTGTTAATCAAGTGGAAAAAGTGAGGATCAACGGTCTTCAGAATCTGCAACATACAATTACGGGAAAATAAATCAATCAATCATTCCAACGAACGTAGCACCATTAGACCCCAAATTGATAATAAAAATAAACAAAATATTACATTGTGGTATTTCCTCTTTGAACTCTCATGACCGTTTCTCCCCAATCCACCGATTTTGGTGCTGCCTGAAACTCGTCAGACTTTTCTCCCTGCAACAAAAGCAACGAGGAAAATTAGTTCATTGCGCCTTGACTATATCCAACCGCTGATATACAATATCAATGAAAATGTGTAACACGAAAAGAATTGGCATTGGGTGGTTTGCAATCTAGCTATAAACAAGTACTTTGACACTTCGAGTTCATCTTCACTTGTCATCAGCACTCCCGGTTAACGTACGACCCTGTCACATTGAACAGACTGATGATTTAATGAAACACCCCTGAGACATTTCACAAGTTTAATAATTCTTCAATAAACTCGTTTAAAAGATGATCGAATTTTGGAACAACAAGTGACATAACGGCGTTCCCCTCGGTTGCCTATGATAACGACTCGACCGTTCCTTTCTTCGAATTCTTACTCTATATCAGATACTGATAAAATTGGTGATGAATGAGTTGTGGGCAAACCCTGAACTATATGGAGGACTCTGACACTCCCCCAACAAAAATTTACTTCCAATTTGATAGAATGTACGAAATAATAGCC